TTATTTAGGTGTTTGTTTTTTGAGGGGGTCACACCTGGCTATTTCTGGCTCTAAACTCAGGAATTACTTCTAGTGGGACTTGGGGGACCATATGGGATGCTGGGGATCAAACCAGGTCAGCCGCATGCAAGGCAAACTCCCTCCCGCTGTACTATTGCTCTGGCCCCTTGTTGCCTTTTTGAAACTTAGATTTAACATCTTCCAATCAGAACACAACATCTCCACCAGGATATTCCTTTCAATTCTCTCTTAAGTACCACTATTATCCCATATGTGCTCACACACTCACACCCTCAAAACTTCATCCTCTACTTCAAATTACATTTCATTTTTCTTTCTGAATAGCTCTTATCTGCCCTTCTGTTTTTAGTGACCTTAGTATAGGTTTCCATTGTTTCCTGTCTAGACCCTGGTTGATCCTTAGCCCTCCTTTGCAGCTGGAATAATCATTGCAAAATACCATGCATCATGGCAGCCTTCTTTGAAAAGCTTCCCAAAGAGAGTATGAGATTCAAACTCCTCAGCATAATTAGGATCTGCCTCAACTCTCCTGATTTCCAGCCCCTGTAACTTTCCATGATGCATAATTCCATCCATCCTGGCTCTATCTTTGTATTCTTTCTTGGGTAGTGAATCCATCCTCCTATTCATCTTCTAAGATTCAGCTGAAATACCGCTCCAGATTAAGGTAAATGCTCCCTCTCTCGTATGCCGCACTGGACCTCAGATTTAATTCCATTATGTAATTTAATTCCTCATATAGAACTCCAACTTCAGTTATTCCACTGACTCATAATAGGGTTTCCATATTTGCTCTCAGTAGTTTGTGAATTTTAGAACAGACTGCATTGTTATTGAATGTGTTTTTACCCAAGACCAGATAAGATGGAGTGTTTCGGGTGGTATGGCCTTAGACTCTCTCCCCAGCTGAGGTGGGAGGTGGAGGCAGCTTGATTTTTTTTTCCCCTTCTCATCTTCACATCCCATATACCTGACAAGAAGTCTGGTACCTGAGTGTATAAAGATAAGGATTTACACCTTATTTTTTCTTTCCTTTCTTTCTAAAGGACTGAATGGGTGGTTGGTAGCTGGGTGGACAGGGAGGTCCTTCACAATTCCAGAAGCTACAATTCAGCGATGGCAGATTATAATTCAGAGAGACCTGGGACGTACTCTCAGGCCCGCGGCCACTCAGGTTCACTATTCCTATGGTCCGAGTTCAGACAAGCGGATGCTTTTGTCTACTTCCTGAAATGCTAATGCAGCCAGTCTGCTAACTTCATTCTCAGCAAGCAGCTTCCGGTCCTTGGCCTTGGCTGCTCTAGGCAATTTGGTCCTGACTTCGCTTACTGACTTTCATTCCAACTCAACATATCCTTCTCTTCAAAGGGAAAGGTGGCCGGCAAGGAGGTACCGTGGAATAAAAGATCTTTTAAACATTGGTTAGAAAACACAAACTAGTTTCATTAAAATAAAGCTATCTAGTCTCATTATGACTTTACCCATTTTAGGGGTAAGGGGGCACGCCCAGTGGTGCTCAAAGGGGTTACTCTAAGCACAGTGCTCCTCCAGGCATGGTGCTCTGGACCCACTCCTGGTGGTGCTGGGAAGCATTGGTATTCAGATTAAATCCAGGACTCCTCCAACCCTCTGAGCTGTCTTCCAATTTTTACCTCTGCAGCCACTCATTATAGCCTACACACAGAAGCCTAATCACAATCATTGTAAATCCTGAGGTGTTATATGTTTTTTTTTTTTTGCTTTTTGGGTCACACCTGGCGATGCACAGGGGTTACTCCTGGCTCTGCACTCAGGAATTACACCTGGTGGTGCTTGGGGGACCATATGGGATGCTGGGAATCAAACCCGGGTCGGCTGCGTGCAAGGCAAATGCCCTACCCACTGTGCTATCGCTCCAGCCCCGTTATACTTCCTTTTTTTTCATTCATTCATCATCCTGTTAATCGTCGATTGCCTCGAGCAGGCCCCAGTAACGTCTCTTTCATCCTAGCCCTGAGATTGTATTCAAGGCTTTTTAGGAGAATGAGACCCATCATTAAATAAAAGCAAACAGTTTGGGGGAAAATTCAAAACAGAAATCGGGACAACAGATTGGTAGAGCTGGACCTAGCTATCCCTTCCCATTAAACAAAAAGATTTTTTAAAACAATGTCTATCTATTAAGCACTGTAGCACTTGTTCATCAGTTTGCTCGAGTGGGCACCAGTAACATCTCATGACAAATTGTGAGACTTGTTACTGTTTTTGGCATGTCGAATATGTCACGGGTAGCTTGCCAGGATTTGCCATGGGGGCGAGATACTCTCGCCAATTTGCCGGGTTCTCCGAGAGAGACGGAGGAATCAAACCTGGGTTGGCTGAGTACACCTATCTATTAAATTTTGAGAAAATCAGGGCTGGAGCAATATCACAGTGGTAGGGCATTTTCCTTGCACACAGCCAACATGGCCGACCCGAGTTCGATTCCTCCGCCCCTCTTGGAGAGCCCGGCAAGCTACTGAGAGTATCTCGCCTGCACGGCAGAGCCTGGCAAGTTACCCGTGACGTATTCGATATGCCAAACACAGTAACAAGTCTCATGATGGAGACGTTACTGGGCCCGCTCGAGCAAATCAATGAACAACGGGAGGACAGTATATGTCTATTAAAAATTAAAACATATATATAAATAAATAAATGTAAATGATGGAGAATGGGCACTGGTGGAGGGATGGGTACTGGACCACTGTATAACTGAAACCCAAGCACAAAAAATTGTAAGTCTACAGCTGTACCTCATGGTGTTTCACTAATAAAAATTTAAAAAATTTTTTTTAGAAAATCAAAATTTTGTATATATCTCAAGATAATAACTTTTTAACATTAGCATCTTAACATGCGTAACTTTGTGCTTATCTTAACGTACCAATACATCAAGCAACTTTTAGCAACATATCAACTGAATTTATCTTTTTAAGCTTTTGAATCACAAGAGCCATTTGTTCAGTCATGTCTGCCTCAGAACTCTTGGCAGATTCCTCCATTATCAGGCTGGGGTTAGCTGTGGGTAGGGGTGATCAAAGGGAACACAATCCTAGTAAATCACTACATTTGAACCATGTTCCGTTCTACACATGGAAAATGGGGATTGCATTATCAAAACCACACAATTTATAGGCAAATTCTTTTACACATTTTTGGCTAAAGCACCCCAGTTTTTCTGACAATACATTTTCACTTTATTTATTTTTTGCTTTTTGGGTCACACCTGGCGATGCACAGGGGTTACTCCTGGCTCTGCACTCAGGAGTTACTCCTGGCGGTGCTCAGGGGACCATATGGGATGCTGGGGATCGAATCCAGGTCGGCAGCGTGCAAGGCAAACGTCCTACCCGCTGTGCTATCTCTCCAGCCCCTCACTTTATTTTTTTTTTAAATGTAGTTACTGCTTTTCAGTCACACCCAGAGATACTCAGGAATTACTCCTCGCTCCTTACTCAGCAATTACTCCTGGTGAAGCTCAGGGGACCATACGGGATACCAGGGATCGAACCTGGGTTGGCTGCATGCAAGGCAAACGCCCTACCTGCTGTACTATCACTCCAGCCCATGACCAATATATTTTTTAAAGTCCTTCTTTTAAACGTAAGAAATCACAGTTGGTTAATACATTTTAACTTTTTATTAAGAAACTAAAGCAAAACAACAGAATTTCAAAAAATTAAAATACAGACTCTAATTTTAATTCTAAACAAATATGAAATCTATACCAAGAACTAAGAATCGGTTTAGCGGTTTATTTAATAAAGGGGAATGGCTAAAATACATTCACAGTCATTGTTTCTTCTTGCTAGCCTCAGATATGCATCCCTTTCCTTCCTTCTTCTCTTGGGCAGGATTCGGAAGGAACCTCTTCCTCACCTCTCGTTTTTGGTATTGGTCTGTAACTACAGAGGAGCTCTAGTCTGCCTAGCTAGTTCTCTTTTCTTTTCAGCAAGTGTGCAAGGAGTTGTCTTAGATGCCGGAAGATATAAATACAAGTTCCTCAGAGATCCTGGTCTAAGATGTTTAGGGAAGGTAAGACACCAACAAATAATAAATGTATACAGGTGTAAAGACAGTATATTAAACAAAGACAAAATATAAAAATTGGACACCTCAAGGAAGGAGAGATTCTGTCTGGCTAGAGAAACGGGAATGCTTTGATAGCAGTGGCCTGAGCATGCAGTGCGCTTTCCAGAAAGCCTTCGAGGTGGTCTTCACTTTTTTTTTCTCTCGGGTTCTGGGCTACATCGGTGGTGCTCAGGACTTACGCCTGGTTCTGGACTTGGGGATCACTCCTGGCGAGGGTCTTGGGGAGTGGGAGGTGCTGAGTATTGAACAGGGTCACTAAGCACCTTTGCCACCATCTGGCCCCAAAGTAGTCTTGATTTCAGAAAGTAGTTTCTCAACATTAATCTTTTAACCTCCTTACATTTTTATCCCGCCAGATTCTTTGATAAATTTTAAATGATCAAAATGTACTATGGTTTGTATCAGTGTTTCCTAAAACAGATACCACCCCTGCACACACCCTCAGGTGGCTGGAATGCTGTGGGGTCAGGTAGGAACAGCCTTGGGTGTACCTCGAGGGAGAGGGCACTATTTACCCTGTTCATGAAGGCACATTAGGGAGAGAGGGGGCTGCTGATTTTTTTTCTAAAAGTAGGGTGATAGGTCAAATAAGATTTTGTGTTTGGCTTTGGGGTCACGACTGGTTGTGCTCAGGGCATACTCCTGTGTCTGTCACTCAGGGATCACTTCTGGTGGTGCTCCGGGGACGATGTGGGATGCCTGGGATGGAACACAGGTCAGCCATGTGCAAGGCAAGCACCCTACCTACTGCACTATTTCTCTGGGCTTCACAGACAAAAATAAGTTTGGAACCCTCTGGTCTATATAAAAAAACATAATTTAGGGACCTAAATTGAAAAGTACTCTAAGACTACTATCTGGTTTAGGTCGCTTATGTTTGAAACTCTAAGGATAAAGTATATCTAAAAGACAAGTCATTGACTGTGTCTTTAAAAACTCAATTGGGAAGACCTACTAGGTTTAGATGCTGTATGAAATCTAGGCTTTCTTTCTTGGTGGCAGGGATCCAACCTAGGACCTCACACATGCAAGGTGTGCTCACACAGATCAGCAGGTGTCGCCAGCCTGGCGCTTTATCAAATCTCAATCTTGATTTACAGGAGTAAGAATGAAGAGGACAACATCAATGGCTAACAGTAAAAATGATAAGAAAATGGCAACCATAAAATGATATTAACTACAGAATTCTTTGTAGGAAAAGTTTTAATGAACTATGAGCCACTGACGATTACAGACTTTAAGCCTTAATATTTCTTTCCTATGTAAAATCAGATAATTAAAACAGACTACCTCAAGTATAACAGAAGACTGTAGTATGTATGCGTATGACTGATAGTAATGTTTGCTTACACATCTGCATGCTTCGTTAATCAGAGAGAATGCTCCCAATGTCCCAAGCCAACAAAGCAAATTCAATGATACACTTTTTCCTCACCATAATTTCAGTTGAAATATAACATATACCACTACCCTGTCTCTCAGTAGCACTTTTTAATTCCACAACACAAGCACTTTCCCATTGTTTTCTTTATTTTTAATATCATTGTGAGGTAGTAAAAAAGGGAGCAAGAATTAAAAAAAAATTTTTTTGATGTTTTGCAGATGAGAAAATTTAGGGTGAATGCTAATCAGTGGTTCTCAGCCCATGTAGCCTATCAAAAACACTGGGAAATTTTTGTCCCTTTGAATTCTGTTTCCTATCATAACCCACACCACCTTGATTGTAGGGTATGAAACCCAAGCATCAATCTTTCTCAAACACACATTACTCCAAAGTACAACTGAGGCTGAGAACCACTGGTTTAGATGACGTATACTCGTACTCAGGGGCAACTGTCTTGTACGTGAATGCTCTCAGCACCTATGAAAAAGAAGTTCTACTTCCTTGAAAAATTTCAGCTATTTGATTCCAGTAACAAATTCATCAGGTGAGTAGAGGCTTTTCATTCCCCTGACGCTCATGTGGAGACATGAACCTCCATTTTACACAATTTGCAAATGGGATAATAGGGAATTTAACTACTTAAGAATAGGTTGTTATTAGATACTTCGGCAATTATTTGATTCTAGGTTCAATATATAATAACCATGTGTTTCAGTTCACCATTCAGCACCTTTATAACTATAACAAACGTTTACTGGTAAGACAAAACAAAACTTGTACGTAACTAGCTCAGAAAAATGACTGAAATTCAGGAATTGGCCATATCACAAGCTGAAAACAAACAAATACTTAAAGGATTTTATGATTTTCTAAATAAGTTCAATCCGCAGGGCTCAGGGGCTAGGGAAGCCTCCTGCACGCAAAGCACATACTCCAGCCCACTCAGCATCTCTCTGGTCCAAGTTCTTCTTTAATTTATTTTTTGGGGGGGAGGGGCAGTGGAGGGAGCTTTAGCCACAACTTGAGTGCTCAGGGGTCCATGTGGTGTCAGGGATGGAACCAGAGTCAACTGTAAGCAAAGCAAGTGACTTAGGCCCTGAACAACCTCTCTGTTAACCTTTAATCAATTTTCAATCTGCCAAGTCGAGTTGTTCTACACCCCTCCAAAAAATATACCTATATATTATTTCTGTTGCTACAGTCTCCAAAACATTTAACGTAAAATCTCACCTTATATTATTAAACATGATTTCTAGAAGATTATCTTCTTGACATGGGTATCAAAAAGGATCTTTAACAAGATTTACCTTTAAGCAACATACCAAATATAAATACTTGTAAACGTTTTAGGTGGCAAAAATAAATCATTGTTCATGACTGAAATCCCCTGCCTCGCAGAAGTAGTGATAGTCTTAACTCTTGAGGAGCAATCCCCAAATCCCAGCCAGCTGCTTGTTGTCCCTAATTTTATTATATTTAAAACAAAATATACACAGAGCAACAACCTGAAAAGTACAAAGATTCCACTTGCCTTAGCCTATTATCATCACAAAGTTGTATCTGAAACCATACAATTTATACTTTCATACAGAAAGAGTCTGCTTCTCTTCTAACAAAAGAAAATCATAATTCATGTATGCTGGGTGATTTTAGAGAGAGTTATTAGTGAAATCAAGATTAGTCAAAATTTCAGAAGAGGAATTAATGTTAGGCTCTTCTAAAATGAAGTCTTCAAAAATACGACCAGCCTGAAGTTCTCAACATAAGGTGTTTTATATCAAGTCCCATGGGGGCAATTATCTATAATGAGATTAAGAACATTTTTTAACCTAGGTTCAGGCTGGCATGCTTTTTGAAGTGAGTAAACATTTTATTATCCCAACCAAGAGTTTGAGGCTTAGATTGTTGCATGATGTAAACAATATGAAATTAAAAAATATATAATATCTACAGCATTATAAAGTTAAAAATAAAAGGACCATTATCAATTCTTTCCCTAAGGTCTGTGATTAACAGTTTCCGTATTTGAGGCCTATTCGAGTAAACTTCAATGTTGCCAGAAAACTTTCTCAAAAGCCAAAAAAAAAAAAACCAAAAAAACAGATACAAGATTTACATTATTACTGTTATTATTCTTACCAGCTATGTATTTGATAGAAATAAATTTGCCTTCCCTCAATCTTAGCCAGGATCTTGAGGGATCTTTCAAATAATTTTGGTAGTTAAAAGAAAAATTCAGATTTGTAACAGCTATGAGAACTATAAGTCAAACACAATACAAAAAGAGCCAATATAACAATCTGTTCTGAAATCCTCTTCATTAGTTATCCAATCGTCCTTAAATGTTACTCAAATTTTTTGTACCATGTAGTGATTTTAAGAAGTTGAACTAGAACAAAGCAACCCCTGTCCCTTTTTTTAAAACAGTTTTTTTTACACACATAATATATATATACAACTTTTAAAATAGCTGCACAATTTTACATCTCACTCTTAGAGAAGTGCAGTCCAGGCAGACCATGCTTCTCAATATGTTAAAAAAAAATTAAATAAAACCCAACCAGTTTCATACTTTTCTAATAGTCAAGCTGGCTGGGGAAAGGGTCTGGAGAAAAAACAGGCAGTTGTGAAACAGGATCAGTCTTTCTTCACAAACACACTACTTGAAAGCCTTGCTACTTCCTTATCTTACCTCTTTATAGCTCTCTAAAACCTCACCTTAAAAGTTGGAAATAACACATTGCTAACTTGGAGACAAAAATCTGTTGCAACATGCATATGTCAACTGCCCACTCAACCAACTGCAACCCTGAGGATTTTTCTGGCCCAGTAGAAAGAGGAAACGCTAAGTTAATCTCTGCTGTAGAGTTGCTTCTCCAGTTAACGATTTCATGTGTTTTTCAGGATGTTTCTTGGGCATGCATGTATGACACTGTCACTTCATGATTCTGTTTTCCATAAGCATTATCTCCTCCACTTTGTCTTCTGTCCCAAAAAAGCCACTGTCATCCATCCAAAGGTTTTCCAAGATACACCAGAGTCACTTCTGTATTGCCATATACAGCAGAAACTGCTGGATATAAGCAGGCCTTTGGAAGTCCTCTAAAGGCAACCCCCAGGAACTCATATCCACGTTCAAAAGCTAAAGTCTTATCTTCCATGTCCAAGATGACTCGAATTCTTTCTCCTATCTGCAAACAAACATCAAAAGAAGGTTAGAAGAAAAGCTGTCAAGAGCACAACTAGAAGAAATATGATATAAATGATCAAGTTGAAAATATTATTAAGAACATATATCTTAAAAGTTATTCTAGAGAAGTCAGAAGTTTTCTGATCAGGGAGAAACATCCAGGAAAACAACTATACATCAACCTCACCACAAATGGTTTATTTCATTTTATTTTTTTTTAACTTAAGAACTGTATAAAATCCACATGTAACATTAGAAGTTTTAATATTCCCCTCATATAGTCCCGTATTTGTTCGTTTTCAGGTCATACCCAACTGTGACCAGGGTTTACTCCTGGTTCTGTGCTCAGGGTTGTTGCAACCAAGTAAGTGGAGGCAGAAAGTCATGACATTTGCAGCAAAAACCACAACACTTTTCAAATTATGATAGTCCCTGCTAGTATTCTTTTCCTTCACAAAATGCCACCAACTGCTTTTTCTCCCTTGCCCAACTCATAAATTACCCCACCATTTCATGGATTTAAGAATCCCCAAATCATTACTGCTACCAGCTAACAAACTAGCGACAACAAAATTTAGAAACAGAAAGTTAGTGTTCTATTTGTTATTTGCTTTGTGCTACTTTGCCTGGTCCCAGATAGCGAGCTGAGACCCTTACGAGGTCCAGTGCATGAAGGTGAGCATCTGTCCACTGCTGAGCTACACCCCCTGGTCCAGGCTTGTGCTTTGTTTATATAAATCTCAGTGAATCCTCACATCAACCCTAGAAGTCGTCCCCATTTTACACAGGATGAAACTTTATCACATATAAGCATTCCCTGCGAAATGTGAGACTCTGCTCTACCTTTCACTGAACAACAGCATGCATACAGTGAGGTGAGCAGAAAGCTGAGCCCTGCTGGACAAATCCTGGAGAGGGCAAAGCAACTGCAAACTTAGAGACGGAACTCCAGAGCAACGGGACTACAGGCGTAGACTAGCCCTCCAATCTGAAATTAAACTTGTATGGCCATCATATTAGAGGCACAGAAGAGACTCTCAGGGTACTAGGTTGGAAAAAAAAACAGCAACAAAAGGCTGAAACAACAAAAAGTCAAGAACGAAGGGCTAGGACACAGCTCAAGTGGCCGGGGAGCATGATCTACACGGAAACCTCCAGGGCCGATTCCCTGCACTGCACGGTTATCAAGCACAGCCAAGCACTGCTAGTGTGACCCAAAAACCAAACAAATACCAAACCTGAACAAAGATGTCAGCTGTAGGGAAATGTACACTGGTGGAGGGATGGGTGTTGGGGAACACTGTACGACTGAAATCTAATCATAAACAGTTTTGTAAGGGTCTAGCTCACAGTGATTCAATAAAAAAATTTTAAATAAAATTTAAAAAAGATGTCAGCTGTAATATACCACAGGGGAAGATAGTTTATACTTATAAGCCAGTAGGCAGTTAAGTCCAGGGAAGCCAACTGCCTACTAGAACAAGAAAACCTACTACACCCTTCAGGGAAAAGCAGTTTCCTTTTTGCTTTTGGACCACATGTGGCAGTGCTCTGGGTTACATCTTATCCTGACTCTAAACTCAAGGATCATTCTGGTGGGCTCAAGGAACTACATGGGGTGTCAGGGACCAAACCCAGGTAGGTAGTCAGGTACAAGGCAAGCACCCTACCTGCCATACTATCACTCCCGCTTCCAGAAATGCAGTTTTTTGTTTTATGGTTTTTTTTTTTGGCTTTTTGGGTCACACCCAGTGATGCACAAGGGTTTGCATCTGCGCTCAGGAATTACCCCTGGCGGTGCTCAGGAGACCATATCGGATGCTGGGAATTGAACACAGGTCGGCCGCGTACAAGGCAAACGCCCTACCCGCTGTGCTATTGCTCCAGCCCCAGTTTCTTAAGAAATTATTAGTATTACATATTAACATACAATGTCAAAAATTTCAAATTTGTTTTTGCTTTCATTTCGGAGTCATTGCCAGCAGTGGTGGAGGGTTACTCCCAGCTTGGTGCTTAGGAATTAGACCCTGAGCCTCACACAAATAAGGTAACTCTTCTACCACCGAACCAAATCCTCAGCCCACAACGCCCACTTTTCTTTTTTCCTTAGGATTTTTGGGCCACATCCTGCAGGTCTTGGAATGTATTCCTGGCTGTGCTCAGGGATCACTCCTGGCAGTGCTCAGGGACCACATGTAGTGCCAGGATCAAACTGGGTTGGCTGTGTTTAAGGCAAATGCCTTAATCTTACTATTATCTCTCTGGCACCAATTTTCTTTCTTTCTTTCTTTCTGTCTTTCTTTCTTTCTTTCTTTTTTTTTTTTTAGGTCACATCCAGCTAATGCTCAGCTATTGCTAAGGTGTTATTCCTGGCTCTGCATTCACGGATCACTCTTGGTAGTGCTCTGTGCTTGAATCCAGGTCTCCTGCACATAAAGCATGCACATAGCCTTCTGAGCTCTCCCTCCAGCCCTGAACGTCCAACTTTTCAATTAAAAAAACATTACTGGGGGGCGGGGGGGTGTTGGAGGATAGAACAGCAGGTAAGGCCAGGTTTGGCGCTTGCCTTGCATGCCGCCCTGTGATATGAAAAGAAATAAGAAAGTGAAAATCAAACATTGCAGGCCAAAAACTCAATAATGGATAACTTTGTGACTGTAATTCGCATGATTCAATTTTTTAAAAAACTGAAAGTCAGGACCAGAGCGATAGCACAGTGGGTAGGGCATTTGGCTTGCACATGGCTGACCCAGGTTCCATCCCCGGCATCCAATATGGTACCCCAAGCACCGCCAGGAGTAAAGCCTGAGTGCAGAGCCAGGAGTGACCCCTGAGCATTGCTGGGTGTGACCCACAAGGCAAAAAAAAATAAAATAAAAAAATCCTGAAAGTCAGATGGAGGCAGGGGAGGAGCCATCAACAGACACCAACTCCAAATGGAGCAACATCAGAGGTTCCCCAACTTCCCTCATTTAACTTCTCTTCTGAAGTGAACAAGCAGAATTCATACCCCCTATTATACCTGAGGCTACTACCACACCCTAATTATTCCAGAACCCGACCAGGGGAGCTACCTCGAAATATCTGTGTAAGCTGAATGGCTGTATCAATATAAGAAAAAATGGATTTGGGGTCTAATGTCATTTCATGATAATGAATGGCTCAAGTCAAAGGTCATTTCGTGGTGATGAGCTTATCAAAAGCAGGAAGATATAATTATTATGCTATTAATAACAGAATTCCGAAACACATTAAACAAAAATGAACACAAAGGGGGCGGGAGCAATAGCACAGCGGGTAGAGCGTTTGCCTTGCTTGCAGCCAACATGGCTGACCCAGGTTCAATTCCCAGCATCCCATATGGTCCCCCGAGCACTGCCAGGAGTAATTCCTGAGTGAGCCAGGAGTAACCCCTGAGCACCGCCGGGTGTGACCCAAAAAGCAAAAAAAAAAAAAAAAAAAAAAACCCACAAAAGAAGAAATAAAGTAGCAAACATATATTTTAAGATTTCAACTCTCCTCTCACTAATAGAAAGGTAGAGCGGGAAGGTACAGACATAAAAGAATCGGACGGTATCAATCAACTTCCCGCGTCATTTATAGAACAGTCCAACAACAGAACATACATGCTTTTCAAGCACATACAGAAAATTCATCAACAGAGGTCATATGCTGTGAATAAAATTTTGAAAGATTGAAATCAGAGTATGTTCTATGAAAAATAAAGCTATTTTGAGGGGGGGAAAATGAAGAATGAAGGGACTGCATTTCCTCACCTTAAATTGTACTATAGAAAGGAAAACAAAAAAATTGTACTATAAAGCTGTAGTAATCGAAGCCCCGTGGTACTGTAACAAAGACAGATCCTCAGACCAATGGAAGGGACCTCAGACAAATCCTCAGATTTGTAGGTGTTAATGTGTAAGAAACAAACTGTGATAAAGAGGAGCAGGGAAGGGCTCTTCAAAGAAATGCTGCTAGGAAAACTGGATAGCCACATGCAAAAAAAAAAAAAAAGTCCAGAATCCATAAAATACATGGAGAAAAATACAGACTGAACTCTCAGGATATGGATCTTAAGTGTCATCAATGACTTGATTCTCCCAAAAAAGAAAATCAAAACAAGCAAATGGGGCCACACTAAACTGGTAAGTTTTCACATTGCCAAAAGAAACTCAGGCTAAAATAAAATGACACTCTACTGAATGGGAGAAAGTGAACGGCTTAATACACAAGATACATAAAGCACTCTTTAAAGCTCCCAATAACAAAAACCTAATGGCCCCATTAAAAAATAGGGAGAGGAGATGAACCGACACTTCCTTGGAAAGAACATAGAGCCAGAGAGCAAGCATGGGAATAAGTGCATCATCATTAGGGAAGTGCAAATCAAAATGACAGAGATTTCTCACACCTATTGCCTGAGAATAACACCAATCAAGTGATGAAACAACTAGTGTTGGAAGGGTTGTGGGGATAAAGGAACCCTTACTCACTACTACCCTTACTATTGGTGGGAGTGATGTTCAGTTTCTCCTCTATGAAAAACAGTGAAGAATAAACAGAATTGTCATATGACTCAGTGATTCCACTTCTTGGTTTCTTCCCCCTGACCCCCCACCTCCACACACTCAAAGATCAATTCAAAAACAAACATGTGCTTTTTTGAACATAGCACAGCTATGTTCACTGCAGCACTTAGAATGATCGCTAAGATCTGGAAAGCCAGATTTCCAAAGACAGAACAATGGACAAAAAAGCTGTGGTGTATATATATATACATGATGGAATACTATGCAGCTCGATGCAACTTGGATGGAACTGGATAAGCAAAGCAATGCCTTACAAGCGGGAGAAGGGGAACTAGCAGATGGTCCCGCTCCTCCCACATACAGAAGAGACAAGAGAATGTAGGGTGTTGAGCAAGGATGACAGGCTCTTGGTCTCCAAATCACAAAACTAAGATTACTGGGGGGCCTGGGAGGTATGTATGGAAGGAAATGAGGAGATGGACCAGATCAAGCCTGGGGTCACTGACAGTCCTGGGGACTTCACTGAGGTGCCGTAACTGCACTCAACCATTAAATCTTGTCACTACTGTAAACATGTTACAATATTTAAAAAAAAAACCCACAAGATTAGAAGACACTGAATATTTACCAAGTCTCCGCAAAGTCAATCATAGAACCTTATCCCTTAGGGTATTCACCGAGCCTTACAGGATGATGAAGAATGGAATCCATCAAAAGAAAATACTGGATCAGAGCACAGTATAGCAGGTAGGGTGTTTGCTTTGCTCACGGTCGACCCAGATTCAATTCCCCAGAACCCTATATTATCCCCTGAATCTTCCAGAACCGATCTCTAAACAGAGCCAGGAGCAACTCCTGAGCACCACTGGGTATGGCCCAAAAACCAAAAGAAAGAAAATACTTTCAGAAATCTTAACTTCAGTAAATAGAAAAAAAAATTGGGGGGGGGGGGGAGCGCACATACTTGGTGATGCTCAGGGCTTACTCCTGGCTCTGCATTCAAGGATCACTCCTGGAGGTGCTCAGAGGACTATGTGGGATGACAGGGATCAAACCCAGGTCAGCCACATAAAGGACAAGCGCCCTAGCTCTGTACTATTCTGGCCTACACCATGGGATGTAATTTTGGTCCTTCTACTTTAGTACTTCCATGACTTGGAGTCATCGTTGAGGCTAGAGCTCAAAAGTCACATGTTCCTCTGAAATATGTAGCCTATTAAAATTTTCAATTTTTTTGTTTCCGGGCCACACTTGGCAGTGCTCAGGGCTTATTCCTGGTCTGTGCTCAGGGCTCATTCCTTGTGGTTTATGGGGACATATGAGATACCGGGGAACAAACCCAGGCCAGCTCCATGAAAGGCAAGCAGTTTAGGGGCTGGAGAAATAGTACAGCAGATAGAGTTATCTGCCTTGCGTGCAGCCAACTGGGTTCAATCCCCAGCATTCCATATGGGTTCCCTTAGCACTGCCAGAAGAGATTTCTTACCCCTGGGCATCACTGAGTGTGCCCAAAATCTGGGGGGGGGGGGGTGGGGGGGGGGGGGAAAGAGGCAAGCACCTTATCCACTATGCTATCATTCTGGCCCTAAAATTTCCGATTTCTTTTTTGCTTTTTTTTTTTTTTTGCTTTTTGGGTCACACCCAGCGATGCACAGGGGTTGCTCCTGGCTCGTGCACTCGGGAATTACTCCTGGCGGTGCTCAGGGGACCATATGGGATGCTGGGAATCGAACCCGGGTTGGCCGCGTGCAAGGCAAACGCCTTACTCGCTGTGCTATCACTCCAGCCCCAAAATTTCCGATTTCTTATCAAATTATTGCCTTCTAGATGGCTGAATCTACAATAACTGAATAATAACTGACGCTTTTACAAATATGCCTATAAATTTAGCCCTAGAATAAAACAAGTAGGGCTTACATCTAAGATTAAAAAAAGGATAAACAAATGCAGTAATTTGCTTAAATTCACCTGTATTTATAAAAATCCTTTGGCACACCCAGAGGCTTTGAATCCGGAGACTGTAAGTAGCAGACGCTGGCGGAATATGTGTTAACATGCACAGAGGAACATCTGTGAGTGAGGTGTCTAAGAACAGAGAAACTCCAGAGCAGGGAGCCCCACGGCGGGCAATGTTGGCTGCGGCAAAGGGTCGACAACTCTGGGGGACAGCACGTAGCCTCAGGTACAAGTTGTGGGTGGGGGTGCTTTCCATTTGTTTGCTTTAAGATTTCCAAGAGTGTGCTGAATATATTTTTTTTCTGAAGAGGGAGACATACTAGAGCAAGCCCAAAAGGAATGGCAACATCTGATCTAGAAGATGAGTTGGCAAACGATGGTCCCTGGTCAGAATCTGGTCTATACCCCATGAGGTTTTACTGAGACATAACAACACCCATTCACTTACATATTGTCTATGACTATTTTTGTGCTCTAACAACACAGCCGAGTAGTTGTGACAGAGACTTTACACACCACAAAATTTAAAGTGTCTACTATGGGGGCCAGAGTGATAGTACAGCCAGCAGGGCATTTGCCTTGCATTCGCCCGACCTGGGTTTGATCCCTGGCACCCCATATGGTCTCCCAGCACCATGCCAGGAGCAAGGTGTGACCCTAAAACATTTAAAAAATAAAAATAAAGTGTTTACCATGTGGCCCTATACAGAAAATAATTTGACAAACCCTACAGTAGATATGTATTAGAAAACAAATATTGGGACATCAAAGACTAATATCAGAGCAGCATGGATCATTTACACTCTCCTTAAATTGAAAAACAATTTTTTTTTGTAATATAAAATCCGCAATATAAAAATACCACTTCTCACCTGGTATTTTGGTGCATTGTTACACTGTGGAAAACTTCCATTGACTTCTCCATTATGTAGTAGATTATTGTCCACCAGATTCCAGCCCCAGCTCTGGTCATCACTGCCGAGCAATGCCACATAACCTTGGCACTGCATGGGGGCCCGCTTTGTGGCAATTCCAATCACAGCCACAGTACCCAGAGGGCCCTCCCACCACACTTCCCAAGCATGGCGGCCCTCACTGAAACCAATCTTGGTCCTTGCACCATCAGTGCTCTGAGCGATGGGGTTTCGATGTAAAGTAAAGCCATTCTTCTTAATGTAGACATTCCTGGAGCAGTCATTAGTGCTGAAGGCATGTTGGAAAGCGCGTACCTGACAAGACAAAAAAGCAAATTTTAGAGTACAAATGGGCCAGAGTGATAGTACAGCAGGTTAAGCCATTTGCTTTGCACATGGCTGACTCGGGTTTGACCCCCGGCATCCCACAGGGTATGCTGAGCACCACCAGGAGTAATTCCTGAGTGCAGAGCCAGGAGCAACCCCTCAACATCACCAGTATGACTCAAAAAGGAGGGGAAAGTCACATTAAGGACACAAACTCTGAGCTATGTGCTTTCAGTCAAGTAATGTATTTTTAAATAGTACAGTATGTATTTTTTTTTAAAAAAAAGAAAAATGTTTCAGGATAGGATGCTGACATAATGTATTAATACTAAAAATGCTTCCTGGGGGATATGGCTCGGTGTTTCACATGCATGAGATCTGGGGAAGAGGAGGGAAGAGAAGAAAAGAGGGAGAGGAGAGGGAAGAGGGAGAAGGGGAGGGAGAAGGGGAGGAGAAAGGGAGGGAGAGGAAAATGCTGATGTATTTAATATTGAACACAATTCTAAACCACAGTAAAATTTCTCCAAATAGACCTCCTCAAACATCCAAAATGAACCCTTACATTTCAGGAGCCAGAGACAGATCAATGGTCTGCAGTGCATACTTTGCACGCAGAAGGCCTGGGTTCAATCCATATGCAGCCCCCTGGGCACTGCCAGAAACACCCCCTGAGCACAGCTGAGTAAGACCCATAAACAAATAAAACCCTTATAGTTCAGAGATAGTACTGAAATATTCATGGATGACAATGACATCTGGGAATTGTTTTGAAATCTGAAGCATGAATCACTGAAGCTCAGTGATGGATATAAGGAAGTTCATTAAACTATTTTCTCTGTTCCTATTTACATAAGAGCTATTTGGTTTTTTTTGGGGGGGAGGGGGCGGGGGGGCCACACCTCGAACTCCAGGCCAGCAAGACATGCAATTTCATGATGGCAATGCTCTCACAAGAACTATATTTTAAATAAAACCGAGAACTTAGTCATAAACTTTAGAGTTTATTTTAAAACCTGTAATAGGCTTAAACAACCTTACATTGGCCTCCTTGCTAGGTATTACTCACACACTCAGACATCACCACTGCCATTTTACCGAATCAAATAACACCCCAGATAGCATCTAAACCCGACCACTAGAAGAGCAACCACTGACAGGAGAGATTGTTGACCTTTAGTAATTTCAGTTTTTCAAGCTCCCCAAATATTTATTGACAGTATTAAAATTGCTACTGTGAACAAGTAACAATTTCTTATGCCACAGTAAAGTTTTGGGGTCTGCATGTTGCCTTTTTTTGGTTTGTTTAATCCTTTCTTTACATTACTTGAAAGTAGTGAAGGCTGGGGCTGGAGCAATAGCACAGTGGGTAGGGCATTTGTTTGCCTTGCACATGGCCAACCCAGGTTCAATTCCCAGCCCCCCATATAGCCCGCCGCGCACCACCAGGAGTAACCCCTGTGCATCGCTGGGTGTGACCCAAAAAGCAAAAAAATTTTAAAAAAGTAGTGAAGTTTGAGTCTTACTGTTTCAGCTAACCAGAGAAATCAAACTCCAGAACCAGAATTTAACAAAAAGGATCTTGAAGATTCCTAAGTTTGACTCTGGAGTGATTTAATTGTCAACAGTCAGTGCAAGAGCCCCAAGAAGAGGTCCAGAATCCAGTTCCTTCATCCAGTGCTCATTTATTCCTAGCCAGCACCTCACTATTTCATTGTAGTACTCTAAAAAGCAGAGATTAAAACAAAACAGAAGGCTGGGGATCAGCTCAGAAGCAGTGAACATGCACTGGGAAAAGCAGAAACAAAACAATGCTTGTTTTAGAGGCGTCTAAAGAATCATCAGCTCTACATTGGCATATTATGATCAAACATTAGCAAGATATTTTCATTTTGCAGTTTTCCTTAGTATTATAAGCTTTTAGCATCATTATATCTTAAATGATATTTTCCGTCTCTATATCCTATGGTAAGACTGGAGCAATAGCACAAAGGTAGGGCGTTTGCCTTGCACGCGGCCAACCCGACCGAACCAGGTTCAATTCCTCTGCCCCTTTTAGAGAGTCCGGCAAGCTACCAAGAATATACTGCCCGCACGGCAAAGTCTGGAAAGCTACCCATGACGTATTTGATATGCCAAACACAGTAACAAGTCTCACAATGGAGACCTCACTGGGCCCGCTCGAGCAAATTGATGAACAACGGGAGGACAGTGACAGTGACACAGTGATATCCTATGGCACAAAAATGAGCTGAATGGAAATAAACACACAACTGTTGGTGAGCCCTGGAGATGACAGGGGGAGGGACACCGGGGAGGGGTTAGGGGTACATACTCTCTGAGTGCTCAAGACCCTGGTTTCACCTCAGAACTGCATAGTCCCGGGCTGGAGTGATAGCACAGCAGGTAGGGCATTTGCCTTGCACTAGGCCGACCCAGGTTTGATTCCCAGCATCCCATATGGTCCCCCGAGCACCACCAGGAGTAACTCCTGAGTGCAGAGTCAGGAGTAACCCCTATGCATCACCGGGTGTGACCCAAAAAGAAAAAAAAAAAAAAAGAACTGCATAGTCCAAAGCACTTTGGGAATGGTTCTGGATGCCCACTGGACCCAGGCAGCCCTGCATTAGGCCCCAGCATTGGTGTTGATCTGATTATCAAAGGGAGTGCCCCTACTTATTCACTTCCACGAAAGAAAAAAAATAGGATGTGTTGGATAATTTTACCTATGTGTGCAAATAAAAATATCAAGTTGGTGAGCAGATAAAACAAAAGACAACCAGACAAAGGACACTAATAACAGAATTATGGTTATCTGAGAAGGCAATGGAATCTATGTTTTCATAGAAAGGCTATATATAAGACTAAAGTATTCCTAACTTTTCCCCTGGGTGTTCTTATAACACATTTTCAAGCACCGAGAAGAACATAGGGGGGGGGCTAGAGAGATGGTAGAGTGGGGAAATCACTTGCTTTGCCATATGGAACCATATGGGATGCCGGGGATCGAACCCGGATTGGCCTTGTGCAAGGCAAATGTAAACACCACACAGGCTGCATTACTGCTTCAGTACCTAACCTTTCTTCTAAGTGTCAAACAACAGCTATCTCAAAACACATCTAAATTGAGTTTAGCGAAACTGACTTCAGTACTTCTCCAAAATCTAATCCAAGGATCTCCCTATTATCATACAAATCCAATACCTAGGAGTCATCCTTAGTAATGCCCTCGCTGTCACCCCTATTTCAAACCTACTGCCAAATGCTGTAGCCATTACTTCCTATATCTCTACCAATTTTCTCCTCCTCTCCTCTACTTCTGCTTCCTTATAATTCTACCTCCTATTTTTTTTTGGGGGGAGGGGGAATCTGGCAGTTCTCAGGGCGGACTCCTGGCTCTGAGCTCAGGCCTCACTCCTAGCAGGACTCAGGGGACCATGAGGTGCCAGCAATTGAGCCAGGGTTGGCCATGTGCGAGGCAAACACTCATGTGCTATAATATCACTCTGGCCGGATCTACCCATATCTCTAAGGTTCCCCTCCAATCTGATTTCCACGCTGAAGTTAAATATATCTCTTAAAATCCAATCATACCACACCTAAACCCTTCCTGCTTATAATTTAAAATGACTTCCTTATTGATTGTCTTCAGTCTACTGCTCTGCACACTAATCAGGTTCCCACTTAGAAGACGCACCCCCCCACCCGGGTCTATTCATCCCTCAGGCCTCACTCACTTCTTTAGAGGAAGCTTTCCCTACTCACCCTTCTATGGTCAAATCCTCCATTACTGACATTCAAAGTACCAGCTACCTATTGGCAATCTTCACAAGGCAAGGCTTCACAGGACTCTGTCTCTTTATTCAACACTACAACCGCAAAAGGGAATACTGCACCCAGCACTCATTCTTTCAAAAAAGAAATATACAGCATCAGATGTGTGGCATAGCAGCACAGCACTTGCCTTGCATGAGTAAGACCTAGGTTTGTTCCCCAGCACTCAAGAGGATGGTGTCTGTGTGGGTTCGTGCGTGCGTGCGTGTGCATGCGTGTGTGTGGGGGGGGGGGGGGTGTAAACTGTACAAACCCTTTGATATTCTCTTGTCCTGAGTTTTTTCTGTACTTTTTCCTCTTGTTAAAAAAGTTAGGTCCTGCCCACATTTAAAATTCAACTCAAATACAAAGACTGTTCCAACCTGAAACCTTCTCCAATCCACCACTCATTCTGTAAATCATACCTTTCACTGAGTTAATGTACACAAGCAACTGTGCAACTGTTAAGAGCAGTGTTTGACATGAATTTGTTAAATCCATTCCTTGCTGTCACTGGAATGAGGACTTTCCTACAGACTATCAGACTCCTTTTGAATTAAACTTTTCATCTTCAACATACTGAAGAAAAGTCCCATTACGGTGAACAGTGATTCACAGTACTCTACTATTCCTAGTGCTCATGTTGGCAGAAAGACAAAGTATTAAAAAAAAGGAAACCTAAAGTCTCTGGAAGGACACGGAAGAAACAGGTACACATGTTGCCTCTAAAGAGAGAAGCTGGATGACTTGGGAATAGGGTAAAAGGAAGATGTTCTGCTTCCTCTCGATTTACTTCTTTTAAATGCTGACTCACAAGAACACATGATCACCTATGATTATATAAATCGTGAATCTGCCTAGGATTTGGCTCATTGGGAAAGTGCATGCCTTTCTTGCATGAGACCTGGGTTCAATCCCTGGCACGTCTATTACAAGAGACTAAACACAAAAGTATCTTACTTTTTAAAAAGTTAAAACAGGAAGCTTTAACTTTTGAATGAAAGATAGGAAATGAGTGGAAAGAAACATAGGAAATCTACAAGTACATATGTTTATCAGGAAAAGCAAACAAAATTGCAATCTTCTGCATTCTAACAAATAAACTACAATTAGTATTCCTTAATTACAAATACTGTCCTAGTACATTAACAAGCTGTTTAACTTAATGGAGAAACTTGCCATTTGCCACGTTTGATAGCAACATTTCTGCTTAAAAACCTATCTTGTGATAGTAGTAATAATTTGACATCTATTTCACACGGGGGGCGGGGGCGGCGGGAATAACTTATGTCTAACAGTCTACCATTAAATGTTTCCCCCTTTCAGTTCTGAATAATTTACGTTCCCCACGTTGCCGGTCAGACTTGATCGTCTCTTATACGTGATCTTCACGCCCGCTGTACTGAGTAGCTGTGACCCACCACATCAATCAAGCCTCTTGGCTGACACTGCCAGGCTAGTCTTCCCTGCCTGATCAGAACCTGTTCCTTAACGTGTCTAGCAGTGCTGAAGAAAGGCCGGAATGCACACGAGGGAAAAGCAGATCAATTGAGACAGACAAACACGTCAACTGACAGATACAAGACACACGCCAACAGGACAGAAAGATGAAAAAAAGTTGGCAGGAAAGCAGCCAACAGCGGAGGGGGCTAAAGCAAGCGGTGCAGATCCTCAAGCAAGAAAAGTTAGGAGGGTACCCAGGACCACGCTCATTTAGAAGCCTGAAACATCAGTGCAAGGAATTTGCGGGAACTTGGGGGGGGAAGATGGTTTACGACCAGATCTTGGCCGAAGGCGAGCCGAACGTGGACTGCGAGCCAAGCTCCTTTAAGAAACCCGGTCTTCGGCGGCCGAGAGGATCGTGTTTACATGGCAGGGAGGAAGGCGGGCGGGGGGGGGGGGGGGGGGGGGGGGTCTGCCAGGTGCAACAATAGGGGTGGTCGCTCTGGGCGGGGAAGGGCTGGAAAAGCAGCGGGCGTGATGCAACCCGAGCCTGGGGAGCCATCTGGCCCTGGAGTGTCCCACGGAAGCGGGGTGATGTCAGGAGGAGCGCTCCAGCCCCCGGAGAGAGCGGGGGTGGCTGGGGGGGGGGGGGGGAGGCGGGGAGGGAGGGAGGGATGAGGTAAGGCGCGGAGCGGAGCGCGGCGGCGGCGGGATGCGGGGAGGCAGGCGGCGGTGCCCTCACCTTGGCCTTGTAGCTGGGCAGGTTGCAGAGGATGTCCGTGCGGAGCGCCTCCTCGGCCAGGCTGCGGGCGCACAGGCTCCGCCACACCTCGCTGTTCTCGTCGCCGTGCAGGCAGCGGTACCAGTGCTTGCACACCAGCGCGCAGCTCCGCAGCTCCGACAGCTCCAGGTAGGAGAAGACCAACTCCAGCACGCGGCTGGGCAGCCGGCCCCCCGCGCCCGGCGCCCCGCCGCCCGCGCCGCCGCCGCCGCCGCCGCCCGCGCCCCCCGACGCGGCCCCAGCCCCCGGCGCCGGCGCCGCCATCGCCTCACCAGCCGGCCCGAGGGCCGCCGCCGCGCCCGGCGCCTGCCCCCGAAGCGGCCCGGGAGGCCAGAGCCCGGCCGCTCTCCGCACCCCCCTCCCGGCCCGGCTCGGGGGCGTCCGCCGCGCGCCCCGCCTCACTGAGGGCAGACGCTCGGCCGCGCGGCCGGCCCCGCCCCGACGGCTCAGCGCGCGCGCCGGACCCGCCCGGCCCGCCGCCGCCGCTCCGCCATGCGGGTTGAGGGCACGAAGCAAGGGCGCCCGCCCCGCGCGCTCGCCGCGCCGCTCGGCCCCGGATGTGACGGTTGGGCCGCGGCGCCCGGGGGCCTCGGCGCCACGCGATTGGCTGCCCGCCGGTGACGTCATCGGGAGGCGCGGCGGAGGGGCGCGGGGAGCGCAGGTAGGCGGCCGGCGCGGGTGGGTCGGTGGCGGCCTTTTCGGGACCTTCTCCGGAGTTTCCCGGTGCTCCTGCGTCCGCTCTCTGGCACCCCCTGCCCCGGGAGGTGGCCCTGCCGGTGACGGCGTGGCTTCAGGCTCCGAGCGGACGCTTGAGGCGTCCCTCGTCGCCGCCTCGATTTCGGATCGCTTCCTGCAGTGTGCTCGGCCCGCTCCTTCTGCCCCAGTCCTTGGCTGGACGCGTGTCCAGCGTGGAATGGGAAAGTAAGGTCGCCACGTTCGGTCGCCTCGCCCTGCACCCCCACCCCCGCGATTAGACAACCTGAAGGTGCGGTCGAAGTCTTGAAGTGCCACTTTTGTTGTTGTTGTTGTTACTGTTTGGGGGGCCACACCCGACGGTGACACGCTCACCCCGGTGCGCTCTCTCCGTGAGTTCCCCCCAAGTGCTCCTTTCTGTGGATGAAAGTTCAGTCTTTCCCGGCCTTCCCACGGACCCACTCACGAGGGTGATTAACCAATGCGTTTGGATTTCTTTAATCATTCCAGGCCGGAGAACAATGCCTAACTTCTTAGAAGGGAAAATAACAAGCGCTACTTGGCTCTCTTTTCGTAGGTGCCCTAAATGTTTTCTGATAGCCTGTAGAGAATGCTTACTAAGAGAAAATAGTAAAAATAGAAGGTAATTGTTATAACAGGCTCACAGATTCCCTTAGTAGTCCACGCCAGTGTTTTACCGTTCTGTTGTAAGAATTATTTCTAGCAGCTCTGCTGCTCTGTGTGATCCTTATTTTTTAATCTCCAGTCTAACCAATCATTTCTCTGATACATTGTCTACCAGTACCTTCTTCCCAGATGTCTTTTCCAAGTGTAGAAACTTAGGTTCTTTATTACTAAGTAATGCTTCACCCTTTAATCGTTTTGGTTCCTCTCTAGCTTCTTCATGTCAAGATGAACTTTGGAAAACCCAAACATGAGAAGAAATATTGACCTATAATCACTGCATCTATCATTCTGTTTGCTAAATATAGACGATCATGTCCATTGAGTAACCCCGAACTGTGTTTTATTCATTATCCCATTTTCAGGTTGAGGACTTAGGAGGGAAGAAGAGCAAGGTTTATTTGGACAGGCTTTAAAATCAAGGATAGGAGAGGGTTTCTCTTGCATCAGGGAACAGAGCACCAGCAGAGTGATCAGCTTCCAGGGCACAGATGCTTGAAAAGCTAGGTGAGAAGTGGAAGTCTGCCTGGAGCTGGTGTTAAGAAATCACTCAGTTATTGAAGATGTCTCTTTTATCCTGTCCTCACAATGTAGGTGAGGGTAGAGCCTTTGAAAAATCTGATGTGAGGGTCAGAGAGCGAGCTCGTTGAGCTTCGCATCCAGGAGACCTGAACTTGATCCCTGGAACCAGTCCCACCTGTTGCCTGGAGCTCTGCTAGGGGCAGCACACACCTGCCCCTAGCACACAGGTGCCCAGAGCACTGCCAGATGCGCTCATTCTTCCCCCACTCCCCAAACGTACACACAGTTTTAATGTGATCATTCTGGTTTAGGCAATGAGGTGACTTACTGGTCAAGTACTAAGTAGTCCAGGTACAGTTTCAAAGTAAGAAAGCATTTCTATTATTAAAACTTCCTTCTCTTGGTCTGGAGAGATATTAAGATAACTTTCTTTGCATCAGGTGAACGCCATGATGCCAGCTCAATCCCCAGCACCATGTTGTTCTCTAAACACCAACAGGGTCCCTGAGCACTGCTAAATATGACCCCAAAACTAAAATATCTTTCAACAAAATTATGTCTGTCTGTTGCCTTTTTTGACCATGCCCTCATGCTCATGTTTTGTACCCTGCCTATGCCCTTTGTGCAGATATGCCAGCTGCACTCCACCCTTTCTAAAAATGCTCAAAATACCCCACCTTCTCAGCCCACTCCCTGATTTCATAGATGTTGAAAGGACTCTATTATCTAATTAAAGTGATGCATCATAGGATATAACCTAATTGCCACCTTGACCTATGAGTTCCTGTGAATGAGACACTGGTCGACCTGATACATGTGGGGGGAGGGGGCGGGGAGGGCAGTGCTGCTCTTCCCTGTTCCTGGTTGGCTTCCCAGCTCAGTCATGTAAATAGCTGGACAGTGCATTTCTAAAAGATTGTTTTGATTCAGGCTAGAGAGATAGTACAGCAGGTGGGGTCCTTCAATGTGGCCTACCCAGGTTCGATCCCTGGCATCCTATATGGTCCCTCAAACACTGCCAGCAGTGATCCCTATGCTCACAGCCGGGAGAAAGCCCTGAGCACCATCGGGCTGTTTCTCCCAAACAAAATGAAGGATCATTTTGATTCATCCCAGATTTATTTACCTTCTGTCACAGCAGTCTGATTGTTTAACCTTTTTTGATGGTGGTTTTTGAGTGTTTACTTTCAGGGCTGGAGCCTTAACATGTACAAGATAAGGCGTTTTCCTTGCACATCGCTGACCTGGGTTCAACCCCCAGCACCATATATGGTCCTCTAAGCTCACCAGGACTGATTGCTTGAGCACAGAGCCAGGAGTAAGCACTGAACACAGCTTACTTGGGCTCAGAAACAAGTGGTTCCTAGTGCTTTTGTTAAGTTACTTAAATCTTCTACATGCTAAATATTGACTGAAATGAAAAGTCTCAAGTATAGGGTTATCTAGAACTTCTCCAAACTTGTTTGGGGCAGGGTTGGAGGGGTCCTCTGGAGCAGTGCTCAGGGAGCAGTCCTTGCAGTACTCAGCCACATAATCAGAAAAGTTCTGGCAAGGCTGTGCTGTTGGCTGCCCAGGGTTGCACCCGGCAGAGCTGAGATCCATATGGTGGCGAGGATCAAACCTGGGACCTGGTGCTGCCAGGCGTTTGCTATATTCCTTTGAGCTGGCTCCCTGCCTCTCAACTCTTTCATTTTTTTATTATCTTTTTTTCTTTTTGGGTCACACCCGGCGATGCACAGGGGTTACTCTGGCTCTGTGCTCAGGAATTACCCCTGGCGGTGCTCAGAGGACCATATGGGACGCTGGGAATTGAACCCGGGTCGGCCGCGTGCAAGGCAAATGCCCTACCCACTGTGCTATTGCTCCAGCCCGTTTTATTATTTTTTTACTAGCCTAGAAGTCTTCGTATTCACGTGGCATGAAACACCTCTTGCCTGCAGAGTGCCTTCCAGTGGCCCTTTGCATTGTTCTCACAAAGCACTGGGCCTTGGGTGGACTGGCTGGCCCTTCAGTTGAACCCATTTGCCTTCCTCTTGGGCCTGCTTTTTATTTCCTTAATCCTTTTCTTCTCAAGACTGCATCATATGCTCAATATGAGCATGAATTCTCCTGCCAAAAACTTTTTATATTTTTCTTTGCGAAACTTTTTTATTGGTTTGTTTTTGTTTTGGCTTACTCCTGGCGGGGCTTGGGGAACCGTACAACCTGCCAGGGATTGCACCTGCTCAGCTGTGTGCAAGGCTAGCACCTTACCTGTCGCTTCCTCCCCTTCTGGCAAGAGTCTTGCCCTTGTTTACAGCAGTACCAACTGCATGTTGGGTAAGACTGTAATTAATTTTTCTGTTTAATCATTCTTATTTGGGGGTCAGGAGGTTGGGCCAAATCCAGGAGCTGCATGTGCTCCAGCCCTTTGAATTAAGTTAATTTTTTCCAGGAAAGAATGAAGTTAGGAAGAAAACTTGTTAACACTTTTGCCTGCCAATCAGCATTTACTCAGATTTCCTGTGGATAGATGTGTGACGGAGAAAGAACTAGAGATATGCTGCCTAATTATTTTTTGTTTTTGCTTGGGGGGCCACATTCAGCAGTGCTCAGGGCTTACTCCTGGCTCTGTGCTCAGGGCTCACTCCTGGTGGGGCTCGGGTACCATATGGGGTCCTGGAGATCAAACCCAGATCGGCTGCACACACAGAGGGTAAGCACTCTACCTACTATCGCTCAGGCCCCCTCACACTTAAAGAAAACCTAAAATCCCTGCAGGACTCCAAAACCTCTGTAGCACTGAACTCCTATTGTTCATCGATTTGCTCGTGCGGGCACCAGTAATGTCTCTATTGTGAGACTTGTGATTATTGTTTTTGGCATATCGAATACACCACGGGGAGGTCACAAAATCCAAAAGAGTTTAGACTTGTAGGTTTTGAATTCAGTTTATTGTAGCAGAGCTGAAGTTCAGGACCATGTGGTATCAGAATTCATGCAGGCTGTGCTGAGCCCACAGCTGCCTCTCTGGCCAATTTAACTACTCCTAGACTTGACAGCGAAAAATCGAACCAGCAGGATTCTCTATCTCTGCCTCCCTGTGAGTCATTTCCTTCAAACCTCTCCTTTAAACTTAACTTGATTTCATCTAATTAATTTCCTCTTATTGAGTTTTGCTGAAATAGTCCTTTTCCCATTTGTCATCTATGGAAGTGGTTCTACTTGTAACCTTGTGTCTAAGACTAACAGATCAGTGATCTAGCTGTTTTTGATGATTTGAAGTGGGAGGAAATAAGCTTTGTGATGGCTCTAGACATTTTAGGTAGATTTGTAGATTCTTGAATGATTTTTCCTAAGTAGCACGAGGAAATTTATCTGAGTTGTTGGTGAAAATAGCAAAGCTCTGCTGGTCACTTTTCACTGAATTCTCACTTCACTTGTGAAATGAGAAACTGAATTTTAGATGGATCAGAATTTGTTGATACCTTGTCTGCTCATTTAGAGATGTAGAAATTGACCTGATTTCCTTTTTTGCTTTGCACAAGAAGCAGTTAAGGTAGGATAATGTGTGATAATTTCCGTGTATTGTCCTGGAGCCCCTAGCATATTGGGAATCTAAATTTTGCACTGATTATAAATACCATGACTATGTAAGTGCAAGTGGACACTGGTTTGGGATTGTTTTTGTTGGGGGGAGCACACCTACAGGTATTCAGGGCTAACTCCTGACTCTGTGCGCAGCGGTCACTCCTGGCGGGGCTTTGGGGACCATCACTATGTGGTGCCCCATTGGCTGCATCCAAGCGTCTTAACCCTGTCTCACCTGAGACGGCGATTTTAAATTGATGAATCTGTGCTTTGAGAGCAGAAATGAAGGGAGTTGGGAAACGGGGCTGAAGCTCGTACCTTGCAAGCAGGAGGCCATGAGTTTCCTCCTGAGGCTGCCGGCGGTTCCCGAGCACAACCCTGGCAGCTCTGCCCTCTGCAGTCACCACAGCAGCACCCGGCCGCACTGCCGCCAGCCACCCCGCCGCTGGTGCCTTGCAGATTCGATCTTCAAATAGCTTTTCCCATCGATTGGGCTGTTTTTAGATGTCCTGGGCCTTCTTTCCATCTCCGAGTTGCTGTGGCCGACCGGTGCTCTTACACCTTGGCTGGGGCCCTGGCAGACCCCAGGTGCCTTGCTTGCTAGCTGGGGGTGACACGCTTGGTTGCAGTGTGCCATAGATCACACGCTTTGTGCTGTGGATGGAATTCCAGGCCTCAGGCCAGCAAGGCGATCCCCGCTCCCTCTCCTCACTGTCTCTGAAGTACTGATAGGAAGTGTATCGTGTTTGTCTTCTATATAAAACAAGATATTATAGTGTTCTCCCCTCCCCCTTCACAGAGCCTTCTCCACCATTATGGCAGTCAGGTGGACCGGCGGACATTCGACTCCTGTTCTCTGCCTGAACTCGAGTCGAGAAGGACTGGTGGCGTCTGGGGCCGAGGGCGGCGATCTCCACCTCTGGGCTGACGACGGAACACAGCTGGGATGCACACACTTCCAGGGTGACGGCGATGTCACCAGTGTCGTCTTCTCAGCCTCCTGCCCCACGAAATTGTATGCCTCCCATGGGGAAGCCATTAGTGTGCTGGACGTCAGGGCCCTCAAAGGTTCTCTAGAAGACTTTCAGGTGAATGAAGAGGAAATCAATTGCCTTTCACTGAATGACACTGAGAACCTATTGGCTTCTGCTGATGACTCTGGGGCAATCAAAATCCTCAATCTGGAAAATAAGAAAGTTAGCAGATCCCTGAAGAGACACTCCAACATCTGTTCCTCGGTCGCTTTTCGGCCCCAAAGGCCTCAGAGCCTGGTTTCCTGTGGACTGGATATGCAGGTGATGCTTTACAGAGAGTTCGTGGGTAATTTCTGAACGGGATTTGCTTACAGATTTATTGATTGAGCTGAATATATCTTTCCATAGTCTGTTCTCTGCTAACATGCCTTATGAACCTCAAGCTTTCCTTGTACTGCACACTGAATGCCAATCGGACAAAGCACAGTAGATATCATTCACAAATTCTTTAGTCTTCTCTGTGTGAAACCTGAAAATTCAGGTATTTCAGATGTTCTAAACAAGGGGTCAGGGTACTGTATTAGTACCAAGTTTTGGGGTGTGTCGGTGCTTGTGTTTGGAGCTGCGGACTGATCCCAGGACCTCGCACATGGGCAATGCATGTTGTGTCTCAGTGGCACCATCCATGCTCCCTCCTTCCTGAAGGAAGGAAGATCATGCGTCAGACCCAGAACAGAGTAATGCCACTGGGAGGGTAGAGTCTATCTAGAAGCCCCATTATGTGGGGGACTGTTTCATTCGTGGTTTTCATGAAGAGAAGTAAAATATGTTGATCCAAGTAGAAGCGATGGAAAAACTGTTTTGGTGTAATCAAGAAAACTTGAGCTTTCTCACTGCTTCTCGAGAGTAAATCTTTCATCACTGGAGTCAAACTAATTTATGTCTTCCCTTTGGTAAGCATTTAGTAATTGCCAGTGCTTTACATAGATTCACATCGTTCCTTTTTTAGAAACTTTGATGATTACTCTTTTCTAGAAACGAGGGAACTGAGATTCATATTGTATCCATACAGTTGCCTGAATCAGAATCTCTCTCTCAGCCTCTGGCTCCAAAGCCTGTTTTTGCTGTATGATACTAGTGGTAAAGGTAAAGGTAAAGGCCCTCCCATTGATCGTCGATTTTTCTCGAGCGTGCCCAGTAACGTCTCCATTGGAGACTTTGTTGTTACTGTGTCTGGCATATCGAATACTCTCGGTAGCTTGCCGGGCTCTCCGAGAGGGGCGGAGGAGTCGAACTCGGGTCGGCCATGTTGGCCGCTTGTAAGGCGAACGCCCTACCCGCTGTGCTATCGCTCTAGCCCTAGTGGTATTCAAACAAAATACAAGGAGTAATGTGATTAAAAATTCTTGGTTTGGGGCACATAGGCTGCCTGAGCACATGTGTTCCTGCCGAGCATGTGTGTTGCCTGCATCTCTCCTTTTGAGCTGTGCATTTTTATACTTGAATGCTGGGATATGTTCTGGGGCTCTCCCCTCTCTCTCTCTCTCTCTCTCTCTCTCTCTCTCTCTCTGTCTCTCTCTCTCTCTCTCTGTCTCTCTCTGTCTCGGATGTGTACTGGGGCACTCACTCTCTGGGATGTATTCTGGGTTCTAGCTTTCTTTCCCAGGGATGTATTCTGGGACATTCTCTCTCTCTCTCTCTCTCTCTCTCTCTCTCTCTCCCCCCCCCCCTCCCTCCCTCCCCTCTCTGTGCTTTCTCTCTCTCTGTCTCTCTCTCCGTGGGAGTGTACTGGGACATGCTCTTGCTCTCTCTCCCATCTCTCTCTCTCCCACCCTCCCCCCTCCTTTTCTCCTTTCCTCCCTTTATTTCTCAAAAACCTGTTATACTTCCAAAAAAAAGTTCTTGGTTTGGAGACTAGCATGTCATTAGGAGGAAAAGAACCATTGTTTACTAATGGCATATGCTTGCACTGTTTGGGGCATTTCCTCTACATTGTGTACAATTACATATTCTAATGTTTCTGTGGTTGTCTTAATAGCATCGAAGGTTTTGTCTTTGCAGTGTCTTGGCTGGTGGTCTTTACTGCACCCGCTCGCACCTTCCTTGCTTCTCAGGAGTTAGCAGAGAGGGACCAGAGAGAGAACTCAGCGCTCAGCTTGGGCTGTGCTCATGCTCTGCATGCAGGAGGGCTGGATTCAAGCCCCGGCACCTTATGCTCCCCCAGCCCCTGGTGATTCCTGAGCATGACTGATTCCTGACCAGAAATTGTTCTGGTTTTGTCACGGTGATTGCTTTCTCCACCCAAGTTATTGGCATTTAGAAGCAGAATGGTGGACATCCTGCAGTGCTGAGACACCGCCTGAACAGTGGACAATTGTCCCACCAAATGTGTTTGTAGCCTCCGCTGGGAATCACTGCCGCTCACAGGCACAGTGACCCTGCACATTCCAGTCCTCTTCCGCCCCTCGGTCTGTGCCTGTCTAGTTCAACCTCAGGGATCACCCTCTGCCTCCTTGGTTGTGCAGAAAGACTTTTCCAGCCAGGTGGATGTGTGTGAAACAGACTATACGCTGCCTTTTCGATCAGTCATCCTTAAACCTTTCCAGTCAGACACCACAATAGACACGTCAGAAATGATCTATTGAGGCCAGGGAGTTGACTCGCTGGACTGGAGTGCATGCTTTTCATGCGGGAGCTCTAGGTTTGGACCCTGGCACCGCATGGTCCCTCGAGCACTATCCTAGGAGTAGCCTCTAAGCACTGCCAGGTGTGGCACAGAAACCAAGATGACTTGTGTTCTTCAGATTAGATTTTTAGATCTAATTTAAATCTTAGATTAGATCTGGAACATTTTGTCTTTCGTCAAGAAGCCTTAGTGTGGGACAGCGGCTGGAGAATAGTGTGGTGGTGTTTCATGGAATGGAAGTTGGGGAATCGACTTGATTGCCAAAAACTTTTGACAGTTCACTGTAGATTCTGCATGTTATGATAGAGGGGTCGTGGCAAAGACAGCACCGGCATACTTCCAAGAAACTACTTTTCTTCCATGGTTTACATCTTAAAACCTGCTTACCCAATATCGTAAGCTTTCTGAATGGAGTCTGTGGGGCAGTCCGGATGATAATAGAAGGGACTTACTGCTCTGTCTCATCAGGTGTGGGAATATTGCCACACTTAATAGATAAAGGTAAAGGCCCTCCCGTTGATCGTCGATTTGCTCGAGCGGGCCCAGTAACATCTCCATTGGAGACTTTGTTGTTACTGTGTTTGGCATATCGAATACTCTCGGTAGCTTGCCGGGCCCTCCGAGAGGGGCGGAGGAATCGAACTGGGGTCGGCCATGTTGGCCGCTTGTAAGGCAAACGCCCTACCGCTGTGCTATCGCTAGCGGGTTTAGGGATGTCGGGAGGCCTGGAGGAATGGCAGAGGAGCTTAGAGGTCCGGCCCTGTCACCTCCCAGAGGGCCATGAGTTCTGACCCTTGTGCCCAGTCTACAGAGAGGGTCCCTCTGGCAGCCCGGCTGTGTGCAACCCCTCACTCCACAAGGTAAATAAATCAGTAGGCAAAGCACTCAAAAAATAAGCCCTGGCCTGCCTTTTTGGAGAACAGAGTGTTTTATTAAGTTGCTTGAGACTGTCGGGTATTCCCTTGTGTGGGGCCCATACCCAGCAGTGGTTAGAGGCTGTTCCCAGCCCTGAGCCCAGGGGTTTCTCCCTGTGGTATTCAGGGGACCATGAGGTGCCAGGGATCGGAGCCAGGCCTTCCACATGCAGATCATGTGCTCAGACCATGAGCTATTTCTCCAGCCTGAGACGGCTTGATATTTTATTTAAGTATGAAAAAGATATGTAATGCATAACAAAGAACATTAAGTACTGCTGTCCCTATCACTCAAATACAATTTTTTACTTGTAAATATCTGGAAATTTCAAACTACCTCATATCTCTGTAGTATAAACATTGATTCTTACACAACGTATACCTCCATTTCCTCAGCTGAAGACAAGTGATTCATAGGTTGTTCCCCCCTCCCCCATATCGGAAAGATAGTTTTAAGAGTATAAACAGGATTAGGGTAGTAGAAATTTTCTTTTCCTTAAGGATAAATCTTTTGTTTTGGGGACGCACCTGGCTGTGCTCAGGTGTCTGCATTTAGGAATTACTCTTGGGAATGTTTATGATTCTAAGATGGAAGCCAGGCCAGCCTCGTGCAAGGCAAGTGCCCTACCGACTAGCTCTCCAGGCCCTGAAAAGGAGTCTTTTGTGGCAAGAATTTTTGGTGGGGCTGGAGCAGTAGCACAGCGGGTAGGGCATTTCCCTTGCACGTGGCCGACCCGGGTTCGATTCCCAGCATCCCAGATGGTCCCCCAAGCACCACAAGGAGTAATTCCTGAGTGCATAAGCCAGGAGTAACCCCTTTGCAATACAGGGTGTGACCCAAAAAGAGGGAAAAAAGAATTTTTTGGCTGAGGGTGGAATTTTCCTTTTTGGCTTTATGCAGCGCCCAGTGATGCTTGGGCTGCGCTGAAATCGGTTCTGACTGGAATCGGTTATGAAAACCAGGTGGTGCTGAGGAAAAGTGTTTCGTGGGCTCATTTTGGTGTGATTGCATTCACTTAGAAACATTTGCACATTGTCTACTTGGACATTTCATTGACTTAGAAACTTGAAACTCTCATTATGTTTCTCTAATATGCCTGAGCTCTATGTTTATGGTAATTTTGAACAGGCAGTTGAGAAATTGAATGTGAAAGCCCTCAAAATCCTTGGCAGTTCAGAAGAGTAAATAAGTTATGAAAGCCCAATCTGGAAATCTTCAGTACTTGAAAGTGACTCTTAAATTTGTAGAATTTGGTATAACAATTATCTCAATAAACACCAGAATGTTTTAAGTTGCTGAAAACACTTAGGTCGGGGGCTGGAGAGATAGCACAGAGGGTTGGGCGTTTGCCTTGCACGTGGCCTACCCAGGTTCGATTTCCAGCATCCCATATGGTCCCCTGAGCACTGCCAGGAGTAACTCCTGAGTGCAGAGCCAGGAGTAACCCCTGTGCATCGCCGGGTGTGACCCCAAAAAGCAAAAAACAACAACAAAAAAAACACTTAGGTCAAAGGTCTCAAGGCATACTTGGCATACTTGGACCTGGCTCCACATGATTCCCTGAGCTCTGGCAAGGCCCAAAAGTAAAGACAGAAGGTAGAAAATCTAATCTAGGCATTAGGTGGCTGTCTGAGAAAAAACCGGGAGCTGGAGAGGTAGCACAGCGGGTAGAGCGTCTGCCTTGCACGCGGCTGACCCGGGTTCGATTCCCAGCATCCCATATGGTCCCCTGAGCACAGCCAGGAGTAACTCCTGAGTGCAGAGCCAGGAGTAACCCCTGTGCATTGCCAGGTGTGACCCAAAAAGCAAAACAAACAAAAAAAACTTGGAGGTTCCAGTCAATATAGTTAAGTGGCAGATCCTGGAACGTCCATTATCCATTAACTTGTCATGCTGTCTGTTTTGTTGTGTGTTTTTTGTTTTTTGGGGGGTTTTTTGCTTGATTTCTGGACCACACTCAGCTTTGTTTGGGTTTCTCTGGCAGCATTGCTCGAGGGGACTATGCAATGCTGGTGTTCACATCCAGGGCTCCTACATGCAAAGCATGTACTCTCAGCCCTTAGAACTAGCCTGTAATCACTCCCACACTCATTTATTTTTTATTTTCTGATATTTATTTTATTTCAGTTAGTATTTGTATTTTCCCAAATAGTGATGGCTGGTCACTTAGTATAATATAAATGCAATTCAAGAAGATTTTTGGTGCTTTCCCTAGAAGGAGCATAAAATAAGGGTTCTTGGATGCCATCTCTTTTGAAAAGAGGTTGAGTTATGGTAAGTTACCATGAAACCAAATTCTTAATAGCATCAGCAGTTGTGATTGTGTCAGTTCCGATCTGTGCTCTTAACTAGCTGAAAAGGTCATGTGGATCTCAGTGTCCTATTTCACTGGTGAATCATAGGTCAGAGGGAAGACTCCATGGTAAAACTCAGCTCTATTCACTTTGAAGGTATTGAAAATATTTTTCCTTTTCAAATATTGGTTGCTGCAGGAAGAGAATGAATCACTAGATTCTAGTGTAAAATCGATTCACAAAGCTTGTTTGTTTTAAATGATTTTAATTAGCGTTTTATTTCAGTCAATTTGGATATTATGGTTAAGAACAACAAAAGGTGCTGTGTAGCAACATGTAAGATTAATAAACATGCTGGACGTTTCTGCTCCTTCCAAGGCATTATGTTAGACATTAACAAAGGTGAATTAATCTCAAGAAACGGATAAGCTAGAACATGTCACTTAAGGTAAGAATAAGAATTAAATATGCAGGGGAGCTGGAGAGGTAGCAGAGTGGAGAGGGCGCTTGCCTTGTGTGCTACTCAGATTTGGTCCCTGGCGTCCCGTATGTCTGCAAGGGTACCAGGAGTGATCCCGGGGGCAGAGCAAGAGTAAACCCTGAGCACATCCGGGTGTGTGCCAAAACCCCAAACACCACTAACAGGGACTGTATCCTACTAATTATCATCGGATTCCTTTGAAGTGGAATGATACTTGAGCAAAAGGACTAGAACTCTCTTTTAACGATAGAACTTCTCTTATTTAAAGGTAATGCTGTGGAATCTTCAGAAGGCCAGGCCAGTCTGGATTACAAATTTGCAGGAGGACGAAGCCGATGAACTGGAGTGTCCACAGTCACCCGGTCAGCTCTTCAACCCTGCTCTCGCACACTCCGTGTCTGTGGCGTCCTGTGGCAATATTTTCAGTTGTGGGGCAGAAGACGGCAAAGTTCGCATCTTTAGGGTGGCGGGCGTCAAATGCGAACGGGAAGTGGGCTTTAAGGCCCACACACTGGGGGTCTCCCAGGTCTCCTTTCTGCCGGAATCCTACCTGCTGCTGACCGGAGGGAACGACGGAAAGATCATGTTGTGGGATGTCAGCCATGGCGCTGAGAAAAAGCAGAAGAGTCCTACCAAGCAGACCCACAGGAAGAAAACAAAAAGGGCTATTTATAGTGTGCAGAGCGGGAACACTGATGCCGCGGCAGCCGACGGAGAGCCCTGCCAGCTTTTCCCAAAGCTCAGTATTGAACATGGAGAGAAAGTGAACTGGCTGCTGGGAACAAAATTAAAGGGACACCAACATATATTAGTAGCTGATCAAACTAGTTGTATCTCTGTATATCCCTTAAATGAACATTAACTTCAATAAAAAGCATTTGTAAGGTTGGATGTAGCAAATAATATTTTTTTATTTTAAAAATATTCTCACTCTTGCGGCCAGAGAGTGGCACAGGGAGTGGGTAAGGTGTCTGCCTTTCTTATATTTTTGCTTTTTGGGTCACACCTGGCGATGCACAGGGGTTACTCCTGGCTCTGCACTCAGGAGTTACTCCTGGAGGTGCTCAGGGGACCATATGGGATGCTGGGAATCGAACCCGGGTCAGCCGCGTGCAAGGCAAATGCCCTACCTGCTGTGCTATCTCACCAGCTCCAGGTGTCTGCCTTTCATGTGGCTGCTCTGGGGTCTGTCCCTGGCGGCATATATGGTCCCCTGAGCCCTGCCAGCAGTCAGCCCTGAGCTCAGCCAGGTGTAGCCCAAAACACAGATTTTAAGTCCTCTGATTCCCAGAGAGATGGTTCAGCGGGTCAGGTGCCTCCCCTCTGTGTAGCCTGCTCGGATTTGATCCCCAGCACAGCATATTGTCCCAGAGCCACCCCAGGAGTGATCCCTGCGCGCAGAGGCTTCCAGGAGGAAGCCCCGAGCACTGCGGTGTGTGGCCTAAACAAAATCCCAAAAATAGTTTTAGTAACAATTCAGCAGATTCAGGTCCCCCAGACACAGTAGGCTCATTCAGTACAATGCAGTGAAACCCCTTTCCTAAAGCTCCACCTATTTTCTCCTCAATGGCAGGAGCCGAAGTGACAGAAATAACATCTTTTATATCACGTCAGGGAGTATTTTTGGTTTGAAAAATGAAATGTAAAAGTGTTTTTAAATAAGGACCCGGGGCTGGAGAGATAGCACAGCAGGTAGGGCGTTTGCCTTGCCTGCAGCCGACCTGGGTTCGGTTCCCAGCATCCCATATGGTCCACTGAGCACTGTCAGGAGTAATTCTTGAGTGCAGAACCAGGAGTAACCCCTGTGCATCGCCAGCTGTTACCCAAAAAGCAAAAAATAAATAAGAATCCAATGCAAATATGAAGGTCTTTTTCATCAAAAAAGTACAAATCAGGGATTGGAGTGATAGTACAGCTGGTAGGGCATTTGCCTTGCCCGCAGCTGACCCTGGTTCAATTCTCAGTATTCCATATGGTCCCCTGAGCACTGCCAGGAGTAATTCCTGAGTGCATGAGCAAGGAGTAATTGCTGTGCATTGCCGGGTGTGAACCCCCCCCCCCCCCAAAAAAAAACCTCAAACCAGAGGTTGGAGAGAGGACAGTGAATAAAGCGCTTGCCTACCCAGGTTTGATCCCCAGCACCATATATGGTCACCTGACCACTGCCGGGGGTCACTCCTGAGAATAGAGAAATAGGTCCCTGAAAACTGCTGGGTATGGCCTAAATCTACCCCTTCCCAAATAAAAAATTAAAAGGACTAGGGACATCTCTCAATGGGCTACGCACACTCCTGTGCTGGAGACCAGGGGTCCATCCCCAGCACCGCATGGTTCCCTGGACACTGCCATGAGTGATGCCTGAGCACAGAGCTGGTAGTAGCTTCTGAGCACTGCCTGGCGTGACCTCAAAACCAAAAGGGCAGCTTAGAGGTAGTGCAGCAGTGAAGGTGACTGCCTTGCATGCGGCTGACCTGAACTCATTTCCCGGCTTGGTCCCCTGAGCCCCGCAAGGAGTGATCCCTGAGTACTGCTTGGGCCAAAATCTAAAATAAAAAATAATATTTAGAGGCTGGTGTAATACAGCAGTCAGGGCACTTACTTTGCAGGCATCCAACCCAAGTTCGATCCCCATGTGGTCCCCTAAGTCCCACCAGACAAGTGATCTTTCAGTGCAGAGCCAGGAGTAAGCCCTGAGCACCTCTAATTGTGGCTACTCCTCCCCCCAATTTTTTTTGTTAATGATGCATAAACCAAGGTACAGTATTCAGTTGGAGAGAGATGTGGTCACTGAGTCATTGTTTGGCCCAAGGTGCTGTCATCTTGCCAAATGTAGAACCACCTTCAAAGTAGTCCACACTGAACCCAGAATGTGAGGCCATTTAGTTTCTGCGAAACAGCTGAAGTCAGCATAATCAGTCAGTGTTGACAACTCAATCCCGTTTGACTTGGATTTAGTACGTAATTTGTTTCAATTTTAGAATTGCACAAGAATTCTATATAAAGTTCGTACCTACAGTTAGATTTTTAACATATTTAGGCAACATTATACTAATAGAACTTTATTGTAATAATAAGGTAATTCTAGAAGTCAAATAAGTTTCTGTTTTTGGGCCATGCCCAGCGGTGCTCAGGTGTTACTCCTGGCTCTGTGCTCAGGGGAACATATGGATCAAATCCAGGTTGGCCACGTGCAAGGTGAGCGCCCCTACACACTCTCTCTCTCTGGCCCCTAAGTTTTTCTTTTAAAAGTACATAATTCTTGGGCCAGAGAAACAGCTCGGAGAAAGAGCAGATAAGCTTGGCGTGCTGGAGGCCTGGGTTTGCTCCCAGCACCGAATGGTCCCCTGAGCAGTGGGTGTAGCACCTGAGCACCACACGGTGTGTCCCCACTTCCGGAGCCCCCTCCCCCGCACCCCCCAGTCTATACCCTAGGCAACCTTGAATATTTGGGCTTGCAGGGAACGATGATCTTTTTTAGCAACCTTAAAGACTTAGGCTTAAGGAATCCAGACGAGTCCATGACACGCTAGGAAATGGGAGGCAGTAACAAGACTGGAAGAGAATTTTCTGGAGACTTAATGTGAACTCTTTTATTTTTTTAAAGTAGGTTTATTGCAAGAGAAATTTGATGGAAGAGAAAGAGAGATGTGTTGTGTCCCAGAGAGAACAAGGACTTCTCCGGAGGGGCAAAAGCCTTTGAGTATAAATTCTGAAGCAACCAGGGAATCAAGAAAACTGGTCAGAGTGTCAGGAGGAAGTAGTGGAGTCGAGCCCGGATTCTGGTTTCGGGGACTGGGTGCGTCCTGGGGCCTGAAATCCAGGTATGGTGCACAAGAGGCTGAGCAGGTCTGACCACTTGGCCCTACCCTGTCTGCCCTCACCCCACTCCCCCCGACTAGCCAGAGAGCACACAGCAGCCTGGGTGCTGCTGAGGGTTAGGACTTGGGACCCGGTAAGTCAGGGCAGGGGCTGGGTGGACACTTCTCTTCCTTGGTGATTTCCTTGAGATCTCTTATCCTAGACCGGCTCCTTTGTAAAGACTATTCTTTTTTCTTTTTGGGTCACACCGGCGATGCTCAGGGGTTACTCCTGGCTCTGCACTCAGGAATTACTCCTGGTGGTACTCAGGGAACCATATGGGATGCTGGGAATCGAACCCAGGTCGCCCTACCCGTGTGCTATAGCTCCAGCCCAGGTCATTTCCTTTTAATAACTATTCTTCGTATATGGAATGGACCCACTTACCTAGAAAGAGAACAAACAAGGTAACCTGCAGGGTCAGGAAAGTGGCGGATGGGATCTATAGGGGGAACTGGACCTCTACTGAGCATCACAGAAAGGGAAAAGACCAAAAATTCTGAGCACTCACAGATTCTCTGACAAAAGATGAGCTAGAATGTTTGTAGCAGCACCATTGTCTGACAGCTCCAAATGAAACCACTCAAATGTACAACAATAGACTGAAGAAGTAAATTGTGACATATGCATGCTATGAAATACAGAAGTTCAAAGTAAGCTTCCTTGCAGGCAGGGGAGAAAGCATGGGGCTGGAGTGCACACTTTGTAGGGGAGCTTCTGGGGTTTTGTCCCCAAGCACTGCTGGGAACATCCTCTGAGCTGGGCCCAGCACTCCTGATGCCGCCAGTACTGCAGGTATGAGCACCGCCATCACCACAAGCCCTTACCCAGATGGAAGCTGCTCACTCAGAGAAGCCCATGGAAATCATGGCCACCTTCTCTAGGGCTGGAGTGACAGTACAGCAGGGAGGACATTTGTCTTGCATGTGGTCAACCCAGGTTGGATCCCTGCAACCCCTATGGGCTCCTGAGCACTGACAGGAATAATTCCTGAGAACAGAGCCAGAAGTAACCCCTTAGCACTGCTAGGTGTGACCCCCTCCCCCCCAAAAAAATACATATATATATTTGTTTTATTTTGTTTTGGGGGCCATCTCTGGCATTGCTAATATCTTCTAAGCAGACCAGAGGCCAAGTGTCAGACCAAAGGTCGAATGCCAGAGTCAACCAAGGATGGCTTGATGGGAAGGTACTGTGTAAGTCTGAGATGTTGGTGGAAGAGAAGAGCAGGGAGCTGGGTGGAATCAGACAAGAGCACCCAGGAGAAACAGCTGAGTGGGCTTGGCGGGCTCTGGTCCAGCGCAGAATTATCTGCTGTTGCCCTGTTTGCAGTGTTCTGGGGGCTGAAGACTGGTTCTTTGAGGGCTTATCATGAAAGATCTTAAGACAGACACTGGGCTCCATCAGTCTCCGCGATTTTTTCAGTTTAATTGTTCCCAAACTTAGTTACCTACTATGCCCTTTTCAGAAAAAAAATCTCTTCCAGGTCAGAGCGATAGTGCAGCGGGGGAGGGCATTCACCTTAAATGCAGCCGACCTGTGTCCAATCCCCAGCATCCCATATGGTCCTCTGGGCACCACCAGGAATAATTCCTGAGTGCAGAGCCAGGAAGAACCCCTGAACATTGCTGGGTGTGACCCAACAAAAAAAATTAAAAATAAAAAAAAAATTTAAATCCTCTCACCACTTCCCTGAAAAATCTACCCTCTTTAAATAAATAGACACCTCCAGTTGTACCTGAGGCTACCTCTGCATCCCCAACCTGTCTAGTACCCTCCTGTTTCATTTCCTGTCAACATTCCTGCCACGTATCTACCTCTAAGGAAACTAATGTTAGCTCCAAAGAAACTCTTTCAGAAGAAACTTTAGCAAAGATGAACCTGAAATATTGCCCTTTTCAATGAATTGTTAACTCCCTGAGGAGAGTAAACAGTAAAAAACAATTCTTATAGCAAAGTTGTCATTCTTCACAGTAAGAAAATTGTAATGGGGGCTGGAGTGATAGCACAGCAGGTAGGGTGTTTGCCTTGCACACAGCCAACCCGGGTTCAATTCCCAGCATCCCATATAGCCCTCCAAGCACCACCAGGAATAATTCCTGAGTGCATGAGTCAGGAGTAATCCCTGTGCAACACTGAATGTGACCCAAAAAGGAAAATAAAAACTGTAATGGAAAAGTTGTGGCAGAGGTTAACTCAGGAACAGGATATTATAAAAAGTATTTCTTCGTGAAAAGTATAATTAGCAGTATTGTCAGTCCCGTTACCTCAACTTAAATTGTTAAAAATAGCTTTTCTGGGGCCAGGGTGCTTGCCTTGTAGGTTTGATCTCTAGCATCATCCCATATGGTAACCCAGGACCTCCAGGAATGATCCCTGAGCAAAAAAAAATTTCTTTTGGAGGGACACTGGGCTACACCCAGTGGCCTAAGGAACTGCTAGTGGCTCAGCACTTGGGGGGTTGCTCTCAACAGTGCTCACGGGATTATCGATGCGTTGCCTTGGATCAAACCAGAGTCAACCACGTGCAAGGCAAAACGTCTCTCTGTGACCCCATAATATTTCCTTCCCTTGGGGGCCAGGGAGATGGTTCCCAAGGCAAGAGTGCATGCTAGAGACCTGAGTTCCACTCCCGGCACCATGTGGTCTCTGGGGGGCACAGACATTGCCCTGCTGAGAGCCCAGCACCATCCAACCTGCCAGCGCAAGCCCACAGGACTGTCATTTGGGATCCCCACTGGGCCCCTTATCCTGGCTCCAGAACACCACAACCAGCCCCATGTCATCACAACAACAGGCAGCAGCAAAGGGGAGGAAAGGGAGAAATTTGTTTTTTTTAATTCACTTCTTGGGAGGGGAGGGTCACACTCATGGGCTACTGTGGACTTTGTACTAGAGGTCATCTGCAGAGCTGTCTGGGGACCCATGCAGTGCCAGAGTATCAGCTTTGGGCCTTTCACGTGCAGAGCACGTGCTCAGTCCATTGAGTTATGTCTCTTGAGCCTTTCACACCACTTCTTCCTATCGCCCCCACCCCTGACCCACAGCAAGCATGTTTTCGCTCTGTTCTTGTGACTTTCATTTTTTGGGGGTGACTTTGGAGGGTTGGGCCACACCCAGTGGTGCTCAGGGCTTACTCCTGGCTCTGCACTCAGGGTCATTCCTAGTGGATTCAGGGGACCATGTGTGGTGCTAGGGATTGAGCCTGGGTTGGCAACATTCGAGGCAATCACCCTAACTACTGTACAATCCCTCTAGCCCCATCTGCTTCCGGCTTTATTCCCATTTGTATCTATCCGAAACACACTGCCAAGATTAACCTTAACTAGCAGCTCGGAAGCGACATCTCCAGCTCCTTACCAGATGGTCCTGAACCATCCACCCTCCGGGATCCTTGTTCTCTGCTTCCTTACCAGTATGCTCTTCAGAGTCAGAATTTTGCCTTACTCATATTGTGTCTACAGTACCTAGAATAGCACTGATCACTCTTTTGATGCTAATCTTTTATTCAGTTTTAACAATTCAGTTGATACTTATGCTGTTCAGTAAAATATTGAATAAATTATTCAGAGAATGAGTAAATTCTGGACCCAACTCTAACCACCTTCTCTTTTGACAGAAGGAACATTGATTTATCATACTATGTAAGTTTCAGGCATACGGCTTCACCTAGACAATGTATATGCCACACTGCCCCTTACCCAAAGGTCTAGTTTCCATCCACTACATCCAACTGACACTTTCCTACCAATTCCCACCATGCACCTTACCTCCTGCAACCACCATTCTGTTTTCAGAAACTAAGGGTTTAAATTAGTTTAGTTGCTTTCATTGTTTTAATGTTTTTTTATTGAAGTATTATTGCATTATAAGATGTTTAAGTATGCATCATTAAAAATTAATATCCTCTATGAAAAAAAAACAAAGCAACATTGCTTTATAACATATTGGTTTCAGGACCAGAGAGAGGTCCTGAAACAAGAGACATAACAGGTTCTTGTCTTGCGTTTCGCCAACCCTGGTTCATCTCCAGCACCACATGGTTGTGCCCAGGTGTGACCCCTGAGCAGAGCTGGCGATGTAAGCAGGCACATAGGGAAGGCCCCCTCCCAAGGCCATGCCAGTAAATTTCCTTTGAAGGAATAGCTCTGAAGTTGTGAAGGCCAACCTTGCAGAAAACAGGAACTAAGGCCTGATAAGACCCTCACCTGGCACCAGCAACAGACCCAGAGACACTCCAAGCAGAACAAAAGGCCAGGAAAGGAACTTCAAAGAAGACCCTCACCACTCCCAACCCCCCTGGTAAGCTCCTTAGCAATGGACTTTGACCTAGGTAGAAGCCCCCACCTGGGGGCAGGTTTGAGAAAATCCTATAAAGGAAGCCGCAAATCCTGCCAGAGACCATGTGGCTGAGCCCATGTGGTGCCGGAGCACATGTGTTACCTGCATCTCTCCTCTTGAGATGAGTACTTTGACGCTTTCATGTCTAATGCTGGGGTGTGTGTAGCGGCTCTCTCTGCCTTTGGAGCAGCCTGTGATCTCTCTTGAGCGTTTTACTCTCTCACTCTCTCACTCTCTCACTCTCTCTCCCCCTCCACACCTTCAAAACCCTCCAAATAAAGTCTGTTTTACTTCACTGTCTACTCCTGAAATTCTTTTCTGTGAGGAGAGACAAGAACCCAATAACCCTGGGTCCCAGATGGCAGAGGCGGATGGGAGAAAGTGATTGTCTTTCTCCTCCCCACTTCACATAAGCCACCCGAGGGTGGCTGACATGGAGCAACCCCTGTGAACAGTTGGGTGTGACCCAAACCTTTCCCTCCAACCCCCCCCCCCCATAAATTCTGGATGTCTTTTGTAAATTAACATATATGCATCACATTCATCACCAGTAAAAATTCTATTCCATCCTTTACCATGCTTTTTTTCTTTCACATATAAGTATTATCACACAGTCTTTGTCTTTGTCCATCTGACTCATTTCACTTAGGATAATCTTCTCAAGTTCTGTCCATGTTATTGCAAATTATCTCACTTATTTATTTAGTTTTTGGACCACACCTGGTGGTACTCAGGGTCCACACCTGATGGTACCTTGGGTCCATACAGTGCAAGGATTCGAACCCAGGGCCAGGGTGCAGCCATATGCTGGGCAAATGACTTAACTTTTGTGCTATCTCTCTGGCCCTCAAATAACTTCCCGTTTCCCATTTATTTGTTGATGAACACTTAAGCCATTTTTTTCTTCTTTTTCTTTTCTTTTCTGTTGCTTTTTAGTGCCGAAAGCCGGGATCATACTTAGGCCATTTTTGTATTGCCTATCTTGGCGATTGTGAATAATGCTACAGTGAACACAGGTTCAGTTTTTCTTTCCATACATGAATCTTTGCCCAAGACACATCCGTTCAGTTCTTCTGACCACGTCATGTACTTTATCACTTCTATTATTTTGCTCACATCATTTCTCCAGCTTAGTATAACCCTACTTTTCTTCTATAATATTGAAGACCAACATTTTTTCTTCCAAGTCAAGTTCAGATTATATCTTCAATGAGAATGTTTCCAAACTAGCCAGGACTCAGCAACTTATTCCTTTACCACTAATTTGTTTCTGGTTTTTCTGGTCACACCCAGCAGTGTTCAGGGCTTACACCTGGCTCTGTGCTCAAGGAGCATTCTTGGCAGGGCCCAGGGATTCTAGGGATCAAACCTTTCAGCTACACGGAAGGCAAGTGGCCTGCTGTACTCTCAGGTTACTTCATCAATAATTTTTTCTTTTGTTTTGGGGCCACGCCTGGCTATGCTCAGGGCTTAATCCTGACGCTGTGCTCATGGTTCAATTCTGGCACAGTTTGAGGAACCATATAGGGCGCAGGGGATTGAACTCAAGTCACGTGCAAGGCAAGCACCCTGCCCACTGTACGATTGCTCTGGCCTTCATTAATTATTTTTACAGCCTATACCTATTTTGCACACCTTCTCTTTAGATTATAATTGGATAACCTTAAAATTGGAAATAATATTTTCATCGTCAAATTGAATCCTGATACATGTGTATTAATATAAACATATATAATATTTACCAGAATATATACAAAGCCACAATTACACCTGGTGGTTATGCTCTATCAATTTGGGTTTGCTTCTTCAAAGGCAAACATTATAGTACATTCTGGGACACCTGTGTTCACGCGATGTTTGAAACTATATTTGGCTGTAAGAGCTATTAAAAGCCTTGTGTACTGAGTGACCTTTCAGGCGGAATTTAGATCAAATACTCACCCTGCTGCTGCCTGTTGCTGAGTGGAAGACGCAGAAAACCTTGGATTCAAGGTTTTTGTTTGGGTTTTTGTTTGGCTTGCTTTGTTTCCTTTCATTTTGCCTGAAGAAGATGAACAATGAATCCACAACCCTGATATCCTTGAAGGAATCAATGAAAAGGTTGCTAGGGGCTACAGGGAAGGGTTGACTTTTCTGGGAAGTTGGGTAAAAGAAGAATGAAAAATAAAAATAGGAACTACACCATGCTAATTAGTATTACAAAGAATTACAGACATGCTAATTAGAATGGTCTCTATCAAAGTGGTTCAGATCTTCCATGAGAGAAAGAGAGAGTGTGTGTAAAAAGAGCAACCTGCTTTTATACTATATATAATTCCATTCAATTAATGCATGTGTGAAATGCTAAGTATTAAAAAAATAAGTAAAATGTGGCTTTAGCCCTCAAGAAATTCACTGTCTATAGAGGTCACAGAAACAGTACAAAATATTTCAAATTTATTGTGACTTCATAATGGAGCTAACCTGGGAAGTAGCTTGCAGGTTTGTACATCCCTTTGTGGTGGTTGGTGCTGGGGGATGTGGGTGCTTGTGATGGCAGGGATCAAGCCCAGGACCCCACACCCGTGACACAGATGTGTGACTTGAGCCACATCCCCTACCCTTTTACCCTCTTAACAGAAGACAAAGTCATTGACTTTAGGCACGCGAGTTATGTTGCTCTTGAGACCACCAAGAGAGAACAGATGAGTTTTGCCTTCAACAGTAGAAAAGGAAATTCTTATAGAGGAGCACTAAGCTGTATCTTAGTGTGAGGAGTGGGTGAGAAAGGAAAATACAGGAAGAAATTTTTGGCTGAGAAAACGGCACATGTAAGCCACAGAAGATAGGAATAGTACACTACTCGGCCAGGGCTGGTTGTCTTGCAGGATTTAGGTGACCCAGATGTGTAAGAGGGCTGTGGGAGGGGTGGGGGGAGAGGGGGCAACGGGTGACTTAATATTTCCTGTTAAGAAAGCCAGTTTTGCTCAAATTATACCACTGGACAAGGTAGGGTCACATAAAATGTTTTATAAACAGATGAGTTACATGATCAGAATTGTGCTGTAGAATAGTATTTTGGTCCTGGGGGATAGTTGAAAGGGTAGAATGAGTGCTTGGCATGCAGGAGCCCCATCCTTGGCACTGCATGGACTCCTGAGTACCACATGATATGAACAAGATTCAGCTTAAGACAGTTGAGTGTGACATCCTTATCTAGGCGACAGTGTGCCACAGGTCTGGAATTTAGGAGAGCTGAATTAGGCCTGAGAGAAATCAAGGCTCTGGAAGAGACATCCAATACTGGAACCCTCGGCATCCACAGTGGGATTCAGGTTACTGAAAACACAGAAACTGTGTTCTAGTTACAGTTCAGTTGGGATTAATGACAACAGCAAAGCACCCCCTGATGATTCAGCACTCCTCCCGCCCCCCAGGAGTGACCCTGCTCAGCATCTCAGGTCAATCATGTAAGGTATTTTTCATTACTTCTGTTATGGTTCTTGTGGGATAGTAGGAAATAGGACACAGAGATATTCCAGAAATAGTCTCTGGTCCCCTTCATCCATGAGCTAATGGCTTAATTCTTGAAAAATTAACAAAAACAAAAACCAGATGGTGGAGAGGCAGTCCCTGTGAGAGAGAAATACAAGGCCATCTCCAGGACAGAAATGTACCCAAATGGTCAGTGGATTTGAGCTAACCCTTGCAGGAGGGATACAGTTAAGATAATCAGGCCAGGGAAGGGGTCAGCAGCAGGGAACATATTTTCCAGATCCTGGACTCCATTCCTGCGTCCTGGATTCCATGTATACGCACACACGATTTGAACAGTCAAAATACAGGAGAGAAAGCCACTTTATTAGCATACTAGTTAGCTAGAGCAGTCTGTTCAAAATTCAGCTATCTGTAAAATAGTAAAAATGACAGCCTTACTTCATATGATAGTTTTAAGAATCAAAGTCACACATAGAGGAGACTGGAGAGATAGCACAGCAGGTAGGGTGTTTGCCTTGCACGCAACCGACCCTGGTTCAATTCCCAGCATCCCATATGGTCCCCTGAGCACCGCCAGGAGTAACCCCTGTGCTTTGCTGGGTGTGACCTAAAAAACCAAAAAAAAAAAAAAAAAAATCAAAGTCACACATATGGGGGCCCGGGGTTTGATCACTGTGTGATCACACAAGCACTGCTGGGAGTGGTCTCTATCATGCGTGCCCACACAAATGCCTTGAAAAGAATAAAGGATAATACAACGATGAGACATGACAGATAATCAAGTAATCAGACAAATCAAAAGATTGGTAGTATAGGGGCTGGAGCAATAGCACAGCGGGTAGGGCATTTGCCTTGCATGCGGCTGACCCAGGTTCAATTCCCAGCGTCCCATAAGATCCCCTGAGCACCGCCAGGAGTGATTCCTGAGTGCAGAGTAACCCTTGTGCATCGCCGGGTGTGACCCAAAAAGAAAGAAAGAAAAAAAAGATTGGTAATATAAAGAATGTAATAAACAGAATGATAACTAGAGAGAATGAAAATGGAAACATCTGTTCCTAATCTGAAATTAAAATAGTTACCCAAAGACCAGGAATCTGACTTAGTGGTAGAACACATATATTTATATGTGTATAGTCCTAGCATTGCAAAAATATAAGAGAGAAAATGTGTGCTGATAGATGCTAATTAAGATACCACCCAAATTGGTAGCGGCTGTAAACAATCTATCAGAGACTTATTTTAAGGAAAAAAACTTAGTTTTATCTCTTGACCTAAACTAACCCTGATTCCTTTATCTCACAGAGTAGATCACAAACTCCAAGCTTTAGAAGCACAGTTCAAAGAACTAGACCTCATCAAGGATAATCTGACACAGAAATATGAACATCATAGCAAGATGTTGGCAAGCCAAGCTGCTCAAGATGAGTTGTGGACAGCCGTTCTGGCACTCAGGTAAGCATCCAGGCAGAAGTCAGCGGAATTCCAGGACTTTGTGAAAATGACCATCCTAAAACAGAAATTCTTTACATGGTTCCAACAATGAATTGTGGGAAAATGTCATTTTATTGAGCTCATTCATTCAAAAAAAGACTTGTTTTGACACTGGGGACCGAGGTATAGATCTCATTACAGACTAGCTTGCTTGCCAAGATTTCACTAACACAGAGAAGGAAAATAAAAATCCTCCATTTTTGTTAGTTTTGTTTTGGCCACACAGGGCAGTTCTCGGGGTTTACTGTGAATTTCAACAAAAAAAAAGTGTGGGGGCACCCAGGGGACTTGAGCATTCAGTGACTGAAAGCCACCCCCCAGGTGGGCCCACAGTCGCAAAGGACAGACAAAAGACCAGGGGAACAGGGAAACTGGGGAACTGGGCACCAGGCTGGTCGGTACTGTTTGTTTATCTCTTCTCCCCTGCATAGTCCAATCTCTCCCCTTACAGCACAATCGTAGTCATAGTTTTGGTCATAGCCCCAGTCATCACCGTTCCATCATCCTCGTCTTCTCGTTGTGCTCTACCTTGTTATATCTTCTTCCTCGTCTCAGAGCAGTCTCTTAGTCTTCTACTTCCAGTCATCGTCTTCATCATAGTCTTCCTTTTACTCCTAGTATTCTTGTCCTCAAAGTCCCCAAGTCCCCAAGTCTCAGTTCTCATCCTCTTTCTAGTTCCAAATCCCCAAAGTCTCCAAAGTCTCAGTTCTCACCCTCCCCTCTTTTCCCTTACAGCGTAGTTACGTAGAAATCATGAAGGGTGGGGGTGACATAGGTGGGATTGAACATTGTCATAACAAACAGGTAAAACCCCTCCTTCAGGGGAAGTTCTAGGGGATTAACTCAAGGACAAAAGTCTCATTTGAGGATTCAGCACTCCAGATTACTAGGAGATCTTCTCAAGAGAAGGATTCCATCTAGGGTATACTGCTTTCTCCTTTCCTCAACTAGTAATCTATTTAAACAAAGTGAATTTACTTCTTATAATATTTCTAGTCATTTTGTTTGAACACAAAATGTGTTATACATTAACACATATTATATTGTATTATATTATATTATATTATGTGTTATTGTATTATATTGTATTGTATTATATTGTATTATATTGTATTATATTGTATTGTATTATATTGTATTATATTATATTATATTATGTGTTATGTGTTTGGGCTGGAGCGATAGCACAGCGGGTAGGGCGTCTGCCTTACAAGCGGCCAACATGGCCGACCCGAGTTCGATTCCTCCGCCCCTCTCGGAGAGCCCGGCAAGCTACCGAGAGTATTCGATATGCCAGACACAGTAACAACAAAGTCTCCAGTGGAGACGTTACTGGGCCCGCTCGAGCAAATCGACGATCAACGGGAGGGCCTTTACCTTTACCTTTATATTATGTGTTATATATTAAGCTTAAAGATTGGCTCTTCCTGGAAACATCTTGCTATATATCCCAGACTATAGTCCTCAGACCAAGTTAGTCTTTCCTAACCCCAGCAGGGTCCTTATTCAATTACTTCTTTTTGGGTTATGACAGAATTTGTCCATGACCATACTTTTAACTTATACTTATGGTGCTTGGCTTGTCTCCTTTCAATGCCAGGATAGCTTATAGGGTCCATCCAGTCCCTTCATCGGAGCCCTGCTTTTGGAGGGCTAGGAACTAAGGACAACTGCGGCTTAAGTCAAGTAAATATGGATGTCCAGGAGTAAATATTATTTTGGAGTAAATTAACTCCAATGTTACAAAGCATAGCATGAACTGTCTTCCTGTGTCTATACAAAAAGGACATTGCTAAATAAACCATGTAAATGGCATAAAGGAAAGAGAAAAGCAGTATAGGATTATTAGTGCTTGATAAAATTGGGTGTGCCTCAGGGGCACTGTTGTGGGAATAACTCAGTAAACCTTAAGCTTCTTGCGGGAGAAGGAAGGACAACCCAGTGTTATCCAACAGCTTGCAACTGGGTCTGTCTGTGCTCAGGGAGCTCTCCTGAGACTCACAGGTGGCTGCATGTAAGACAAACACCTTAACCCCTGTGCTATCTCTCCAGTCCCAATACTCCTGCATCATAGGAACTACTCCTTTCTTTTGTATTTTGAGTCACACCTAGCAGTGCTCAAGGCTTACCCTGGCTCTGCACTCAGGGGTCACTCAATAGGCTTTGGGGACTGTATGGGGTGCTAGGGATCATAGCATACGAAGCAAGCATCCTGCCCATTGGACTATCTCTCCAGCCCCTGGAACTCCTTCATTCCTAAGAAATATGGGCAACTTGACAACTAAGAGCCATTTATTGTATGATGTCTAAACAAAAAAGGAAAGAAAAAAAGTTCCTAATGGGATATACTTTGACCTACTGGAATTGCTTTGTCCTTTCAAGATTTCCATTGCCTAAGAAACTCCATGTTGTTCATAGGTTCACTTCAATGGAACTGAATATTTTATACAGCTATGTCATTGAAGCTCTTGACTGCTTGCACACACGTGTGCTCGAAAAGCTGCCAGACCTGGAGAGAGCCCTCCCCACCTTCGCCTCGATCCTCAGACACAAAGCCAAGAACACACGTGTTCAGGTTGCGTGGGAATCTGTCCTGGAGGAGTGCGGGCTGCAAGAAGGAGACGTCACTGCTCTTTGTACCTTCTTTCTTGCTCATGGTAATAAGTCCAGTCACTATGCTGCTACAGTGAGGCAGCTCTACATCAGAGATATCACGTTCATGATAACTAACATGGTGAAGAACCAGGCTCTGCAGCAGGGGTTGCTGAGAGCTGTTCAGGTCATTGAGGAGGGGAAGGCCGGGAGGGTTCCTGAAGAGCAAAAGTCACCATTCAGTGAGTTGATCCCAGCAGTCAAAAACTAATCTTTTTCCCGTCATCCTTCCAGTAATTTACCTTGCAAATGGTGGGGAAAGGGACGTGTGTAGAATTTTTTGTAAGCTTCTTTTGGGCGTAGGGGCCTCCCAAATGAGATTCAGGATGCCTGGGGTCCCTCCTAGCAATTCTCAGTCAACTAGGCCAGTGGTTCAATGTGAGCATCCCAGAATGTTGCCCAGGACCTTTGTCCTGCCCAGGACACCCCAGTGGAGCTCCAGGTCACACTGCTCAGGGGCACCTAGGGCTACACCCAGCACTGCTGGCGGGACCAGATGGTGCTAGGAAACCAACCCCCATCGTTTGTGCCCCTTTACTGCTCTATTACCTCTCCAGCCTCTGGAGCCTATTTTCAGAGTGACAGTGGGAGCAATTGTGACCCCCAGAGGGAGGATCACCAACTCTGACAGCATATGGAGGTAGCAGTGGCTGCAGGTAACACGACCCAGAGCAAGACGCAACTGTGGGAGCCGCAATGATTCGCCAAGCGACTATTCAATCACTGCAGTTGGCAGCAGGTCCTGAGATGGAAGACCAGCTGAGGCCTGAGGGTTGTTTCTCAGATGCACGGGAGACCCCAGCAGGATAGTTGGAAGCAGCTGGGAGGGCTTGGGTAGGAAAGCCACCTAGAAGATCGGAAATACAAAATACAAGGGGCGGGGGGGGGGGGGGGGGCGGTGCTGGAAAATCAAGACTTCTGGACAGTTCCTTTTTGACACATATTATCCAGTTGGTTGTTGTACAAAGCCTAATTTTGCTGTAGAAACATTACATAGGATATATGCAACCTGACTGGTCAGTTCCACACACCTTCATTTATCTTTGGGGCAATCACACGGCAAGCAAGAGGGGATGCTTTCCTCTGACCTGTGCATGCGTCATTTTATGGCGCACAGTTGCCCGGTCATAGTATATGTACAAAACTGTCGTGACCTTCCCCTCACCTTTGCTTCCTAGCTCTCTGATCACTAAGAGTCTTCCTTCTTTGGAGGGGATGGAGTTGGCCACCCCAGCGGTGCTCAAGAGCCGTTCCTGGTGCTGAGCTCAGGAGTGACCCCTGGTGGTGTGGCGCTGGTGAGTCCAGCTAGGGTCAGGCTGCATCCAAGGTTGTCTCGTTCTGATTTTGAAGGGATGGGGAGATGTCAAGTTTTCAAGTTTTAGCCTTTTTGACTGTGGAATGTGCCCTGCCTTCGTGCCAAGAACCATGAAATGGGAAGTCAACAAGTATCAGATCCTCTTCCCAGTCTTGACGCCCTCTAAGATTTGCCTGTGGCCTTCAGCACCGCTTATGAGCTGTGCGGAGGATCAGGCAGTGCCACAGTCAGAAGTGATCCCCGAGCACAGAGCCTGGAGTAGCCCCAGAGCACTGCTGGATGTTCCCTGACCCCCCCATTAAATAAGTTATAAATTAAATCTGCCAACTTAATTGTAGTTTCTTTGTTGTTTGTATTTTATACAGTTCTACAAGTGCCAATGCAAATAAATTTATTTCTTTTGTTTACTTTTTTGGGCATACCCTGCAGTGCTCAGGGTTTATTCCTGCTATGCCCTCAGTGATGACTCTTGGTGGTGTTCAGGGGTATTAATGGGCGCTGGGGATTGAACCTGAATCAGCCATATGCAAGGCAAGTAGTTTAACCCACTGTACTATCTCTCTAGCCCCCCCAAATAAATTTATTTTGCCAGAGAAATGACCGCCTTTTTCTTTTGTTCTTTTTTGGCCACACCCAATGGTGCTCAGGACTTTCTCCTGGCTATGTCTCGGAGAATATTCCTGGTGGGCTCAGGAACCGTATGGGGTGCTGGAAATTGAACCCAGGTCTGCTACATGCAAGGCAAGTGTCTAGTGTCTTACCTGCTGTACTATTGCTCAGGCCCCGAGAAGTCTTGAATCACACATTGTTTTTTGGCTTTTGGGGTCACACCTGGGTATGCACAGGGGTTATCCTGGCTCATGCACTCAGGAATTACTCCTTGTGGTGCTCAGGGGACCATATGGGATGCTGGGAATCGAACCTTGGTCGGCCGTGCGCAAGGCAAATGCCCTACCTGCTGTGCTATCACTCCAGCCCTTTGAATCACACTCTTGATTCAACTGTAAATCCATTTTAATACTGTATCAGAGTCTGACATGTATCAGAATCTGACCTATTTATCTCCCACGGCACTTCTTGCTCCATTGACACACCCCCATGAAGTTCCATGATTTTTCAAAACAGCTATGCATTGGGATCTGTTTTGCTTTTTGACCACCTTTATACTATAGGTTTGCTCACTTTTATTGAATCATCATTTTATTGACCAGAGATAGTGCAGAGGTTTGGCACTTACCATGCACACAGCATATCATGGTTGGATCCCTGGTACTCCATATGGTCCCCCAAGTCTCACCAGGAATGATCCTTGAGTTAAGAACCAAGAATAAGCCCTCAGCACCAGCGGGAGTGCCCCTCTCACTCAAAAAAAAAAGTTTATTAGGGTAGTAGGGTTATTGCAAAGAAGGGATAAGTGAGCCTTTACTGTAGAATAAGAGATCCAGAGTTAAAGACACAGTCGTCCTCTTTGTCTGGGCGCTATACCTCTTCTTGGATGCGAGGTCCCCTCCTTGTGGGAGGCTGTCAGGGCATCAGGGCATCAGGGTATCAGGATTAGGACAGTGTTTTCTTATGAGGGAGACGTTACCTGCATCCTACTGATAAAGTATTTTGCTGAGTTGCTGTAAGTCAGCCTTGGGCCTTGTCTCACGAGAATGGGAAACTGAAACATTCTGGAGGGCCAAGACAGGGACTTTACCTTCCTGTTATGATTGCCCGAGAAATTTACAGTTTATATCTCCTAGTGGTTCCCATGCTGGCTTTCTACATCCTGTTTCTGTGTTAGAGAACAAGGAACTCAGTTCAACAGTGGTATTTTATAATACCACTGTCACCCCTTAGCCTCAAAATGGAGATTTTGCTGTCTAATGCTCAATCATCTACAGTTTTAAATCAAGGAATATATTTCAGGCAGACAGAAAGGAAAGGCTCCCGGTAATGAGTGACTTGGAAGAAATAAAAACAAGATGTGATTTAAGGAAGCTGTCAAGTCACCAGCACAGGAATGAAAACGGCACTCCTTTGAGATCTAAATAGCGGGCATCACCCAGATGCAGAAGCTGAGGCAATGACGGTGAAACCCCTCCACTGCCCAGAAACGCTCCAAGAGAAACAAAAGAGTGATCAGAATATGGAAAAGACCACCAAAAATCCAAGCTTCTTCCCTTTGGCCACCATAGCAACGAACTTACTGACACAGAAAGCTCCAGGGCAAGGGAGGCTGGTGGTGAAGTTTGGGCAAAGGGCTACTATAAAGCCAGCTTTTGTAAAGACAAGCGGAACACATTCTCACCTCCAATGCAGCCTGAAGTATCTACTCTCAGCTCTCTCCACCTGGAGAAGCCTGTGTGCTATTTCTCTCTGTCTCTGTCTCTCTCTGCTTTCTTATATTTCTCTTAGTAAAACGATTTTACTTCATTATTCAGTTCCTCCTGAAATTCTTTCCTGCGAGGGAAGATGATGGATCTGGGCCCTTGGACAGAGGCTAGGACTGATGTTTTCCTGCAGAGAACAGTTCCTTGCTCATCCCAGCTTGTGTCCACAGCTCTGCGAGTTTTCAGGATGTGGGCCCAGCACCCACGCTGTGTAGGTCAGTGGACATCAAGTGCGGCCTGGTGGCTGCCCAGGAACACTGATGGGGTGGATGAGCGCATCACACTGTGCAGGGGCTTGTGGCAGACGCTCCCAGACATTTTTCTGAGCGACTGAGTGTAGGATAACACTGTTTTTGTCCTTCCTGCATAGCCTCAGGTAGTTTAGGTTTATTGGGTTACTCCCATCACAGTGCTCCCATTCCTCTGTGTTTATGTGTAACTTCTTTCTTTGTGCTCTGTTGGCTTGTAAATATTGTTTTTCCCTTCTCCCTAAGTCCTTTGCCTAGTTTATTCAGAGCAATGTCCTTTTTGTATGGACACAAGAAGACAGTATATGCTATGCTTTTGTAATGTGACTCTCAGTGATAGTTTCCTCCTGGCCATCTGTTCTCTGGACCTAAGCCTCAGCTGCCCTTACTTCCTAGCACCCCCAAAAGCAGGGTCTCGACGAGGGACTGGATGGAACCAAGGCAAGCAGTAAGCTATGTGCTATCCTGGCATCGAGATGGGCCTGGCCAAAGTCCCATAATGCTTAACTATAAGTTAAGAGTTTGGTCATGGACAAATGGTGTCATGATCCAAAAAGTAATAACTAGATTCGGACCCTTCTAGGGTTAGGAAAGATTAATCTGGCCTGAACTCTATAGTCTGAGTCTGTGGCAAGATGTTCTCAGGAGAACTGCCCTACACACCTCAATGTTATCTCCTACTGTGTCCATACAAAAATAACTAGTATTAAGATGTTGATAGATGAATGCAATCTTTCTGTGTCTATCCCGCTCTTTCTGACTCATTTCGCTTAACATGATACTTTCCATGTAGTACCACTTGTATGTAAATTTCATAACTTCATCTTTTCTAACAGCTACATAGTACTCCATTGTGTAAATGTACCAAAGTTTCTTTAACCAGTCATCTGTTCTTGGGCACTCAGGTTTTTTCCAGATTCTGGCTATTGTAAAGAGTGCTGCAATGAACAAACAATTGCAGATGTCACTTTGACTATACCTTTTTGCCTCTCTGGGATATATTCCCAGGAGTGCTATAGCTGGGTCAAATGGCAGATCAAATTCTAATTTTTTGAGAGTCGTCCATACTGTTTTCCAAAAGGGTTGGACCAGCCGGCATTCCCACCAGCAGTGAAGGAGGGTCCCTTTCTCGCCACATCCGCGCCAGCACCGGTTGCTTTTGTTCTTGTGGATGTGGGCCAGTCTCTGTGGTGTGAAATGATATCTCATTGTGGTTTTGATCTGCATCTCTCTGATGATTAGTGATGTAGAGCATTTTCTCATGTGCCTTTTTGCCATTCGAATTTCTTCTTTGCGAAAGTTTCTGTTCATTTCCTCACCCCATTTTTTGATGGGGTTGGGTGATTTCTTCTTGTGGAGTTTAACCAGTACCTTGTATATCCTTGATATCAACCCCTTGTCGGATGTGTACTTGGTGAATATCCTTTCCCATTCTGTAGGCTGTCTTTGTATTTTGGTCACTGTTTCTTTGGAGGTGCAGAAGC